CCTTGATCTTAACAGAATAACCTTGGCTCTGTGTCAAGACAAACACCTTTTAGTGTTTAAAAGTTCATAACCTTGACAGTAATATTACAACTTTTCTGACATTGGCCGATGAAGATGTTTGAAATTTGCATTATCTCGTTCCATTTTGTCACAGGTCAGAAAAACAACATTGAGGTATTTTAAAACATCACCGGATATTAATATTCAAATAACATGGAGTTTCTATTTATGGAAGATAGACGGGGTTGAAAGTCCCTTCCATAACACGTATTTAGGTAATAGCTAGCTTTACTTTCAATAAAAATAAACTCAAAAGTCCACAAATATAATATTTTTCCTCATTTATTTCAAAGTTTGGGTAAAAAGGGGGGATGAGGAGCATGGGGATGTCTAGATGTATCCCGTATACATTCGAGTTTATTATTCTGTTAGACAGGAAGATCCGAGGAGTTATTTGCTGATCATGATCTAAAACATGCTGACAAACCGAAACCACATGGTTTTATACACGTTATTCAATCAATTTATTCATAATTATTTCTCTTGAAGGAGGAATGCATGGATAAATGATTAAAGAAAATTCCCAATGTACAATAGCATCCGTGCATGGACTTCATTTTAGTACTACTGTCTACATAATGATATTGTGCTTGAAGTTGAATAAAATCATCAAATAGATTAAATTTAGATAGGAAAGGGATATTATGTGTAATAGAATAAAAATTAGACAATACTTGATACAGGGACTCGCTGGTAAAAACATGAATGTACTTAAATAAAATGCCTTTCACTCGCTTTCTCTCGTACGCGTATTTTTAAACCAAGGAAAGTAATTTGCGCTAGATATAAGTTCATCATTTACTGAGTTATATACGGTAAATGATACAAACGGTTTGACTTTGGTGCCGGTTATGATTTTAACAGTTTAATTTAGGTTGTAAAATGTCATGTAATTACATGATAAGTCTGTAAAATTCAGATAAGATTGTTACCCCAGTATATAAGTTCGTAAATTTTCGATTCTGGACATATGGTGCGGGTTTTTACTACTGAATGTACATTGTATAACCTGCTACTGATATTTAATCGCGGAACAAAACTACAATGTTAGCACACTATACTAATCATTTATATGGGTTTTGAATAAATTATAAAACAAATTAAGTTCATTGCTTTAAAATCATTACCGGGTATTTCTTGAACTTTACTATAAAACCTGTAATATAAATAGACAGAGTGCAGCACAGAAGTCACTTATGAAGTTTACACGTGCCGGTGTTACTTATCGATGTTTAATCCATTTCATTGAGTATAATTCTATCCTTACGATTCGGAAGATTCCTTTTTAAAGTTTAAAATTGGTATAGCCATGGTTAATATCTGTGATGAAAAAAAATGTGTTTCGAAAAACTTGTGTTGAAAACGGATTTATTTGTGTGTGAAAAGAGCAAAGCTTGTGCATTTTAATAAATATTGGTTGAGGTAAAGGAACTGAAGATCGCCAGTCCTTGCGCTATGAATCGTCAAATTACACACGGAGCTAGCGAATATTTAAAAATTGAAGACTGATTAATGTACATACTACATGTAAAATAAATGCCCCAGCGTTTTATACTAAAGTCAAACCTAAAACATTTTAAGATATTTTTGAAAGATTTAATTTAATTAGAGAAAATAATATTTGTTTACTGTTGTAGAATGGTTTGAATATACCAATTATTTTGCCTATGACTGCGGGGTCCATGGTTCACCGCGGTGTGTCGCTTTAGAATTTCTCGGCCGCGTGTAATCGAAAGACAGATTACGTAATGAATATGGGTTCCAGGTGAATACGAGAATCGCACAGTAAATAATTGTGTATTATTTGACTCTTAAAAGTTTTTTTTTATGAAATCCGGGCGTATATTGTTTCCGTTCAAATTGTTTGTGTTTATATTCAAACGAATAAAAGATACTCTTTCTCTTGGAGTTGGAAAGATCTTTATTAATTAAAGGAAAATGATACCATCGAATACTCTGAACGGGAAACAAAGAACACGTTTAAAACCTAATTTAAAAAAGAGATATGATACAGCGTTGTAAAATATTCATTACTTACGGCAAGTTTATTTCAATTATTCTTCAATATCAAAATGAGAACGGAGACTTGTTTACGGTGAATACCATACGTAAGACTCGAACAAAATAATATTTTCATGGGGCAGAGATAGTATAAAAAGGAACAATTTCATCAAGAATTAATTTAACTATTCTGTGGTTGTTTATTTTTTGTGTATGACTGTAGGTCGCTGGATCACACACCGATTGATTCCCGGTGACCGACTTTGCCCCGCCGCTATCGAGGGAGGCGCGTTATATAATTGTAAACAAACAAGGTGAATGTTAAAGCCGTGCACTTAATGGCTGTGAATAGTATATGTGCTTTTTAGTTATGTTTTCTTTTCTCACTATATTGTTTGTTTTTATGTGATAAGAAGAAAAGATGATATTTTCTTCCCTTTTTAGTAGACTTGGTTTTATACGATTTTTAAAAAAAATGAAATAAAAGGGAAAGTTGTCAGTGAATAAACATGATAATTTGGAAGAAAAAAAGCACAAACACTTCAAGAACTTTATTCTGAAGAATATTTAGAATCCAATGTAGCCATGTTTATTATTTATAGTAAGCTTGCTTTGGTTACACGCATGAGGAGCTCTCGTTTACGTGCTGAGTGAAAAGAATTACATGTGCATATATAGGTCATGCACCAGCTCATTTAAAACAAAACTCGAACACAATAACAATTTCATGAGATCAGTAAGATGATAAAGCACAACTTTATAATCGATAGTCATTTCGAAATATTTACCGTTTTTGAGTTATAAAGCGAAAACTTTCAAGGTCCTTTGATCCCTAATTATAGGGGCCAGCCCCTTTTGAATATTATTAAATGAAAGCCCTTGCAATTATGAACAACGTTTGTTCATTATATCTTAACAAAATATTTTTAGTTTTCAAGATAAAAAGGAAAGTATGTGTAAATTTTCGCTCTTTTAGGCGTTCTAATTTTTGACCCCTATAAAGCGCCATTGTGGATACAGAAATCGAAAAACAAAAACTGATGTGCACAACTTCAATCCTTCTTTTACCTTAAATCAGTAAAAATTCTGCTCCAGCTTTTGTGGTCTCTGAGCCTTTATCCGGAAACGAAAGCCTATATATTTTCGTGTAAAGGGGAATAACTCAAAACCGGAAGTGAATTTTTGCAATATTAGATAACACTCGGATAGAGTTTAAGAATGTCTATAATGTCTGAAAATTTGAGCCAAATCCGTTAATAAATAAGTGAGATACGAGGCCTCAAAGTTGGCGTCTAGGAAGTAGAAGAAAAAAAAAGAATAATAATCTTTACCAACAGAATCAGTAGAAGGTCTTCCGTTGGAAACGGAAGACCTTAACTATAAAACTTTGATCTGTCATAGTAATAACTTTGAAACTTTGATTTACTATGGCAAAAACTTTGGAACTTTGATTTACTATAGTAAAAACTTTGAAACTTTGATTTACTATGGTGAAAACTTGGAAACTTTAGTTTACTATAGTGAAAACTTTGTAACTTTGATTTACTATAGTAAAAACTTTGGAACTATGATTTACTATAGTGAAAACTTTGATTTACTATGGCAATAACTTTGGAACTTTGATTTACTATGGTGAAAACTTTCAATTGTAACTTTGATTTAATATGGTGAAAACTTTGATTTACTATGGTAAACTATAGTATTTTTTTGTTAGGGTACCCCCGGGGGTCATAATTTTAACAAACTTGATTCTACACTACCTGAGAATATTCTACATAAGTTTCATCTTTCCTGGCCCAGTGGTCCTTGAGAAGATTTTAAGATTTTTCCTATATATTCCTATGTAAAACTTTTATCGTCAATTGTGGCCCCGCCCTACCCCCAGGGGTCATGATTTGAACAAACTTGAATCTACTATACCTAAGGATGCTTCCATACAGGTTTCATCTTTCCTGGCCCAGTGGTTCTTGAAAAGATTTTTAAAAGATATATGCCATTATTTTTTCACTAATTTTTAATTATCTCCCCTTGAAAGAAGGTGAGGCTCTTTACTTTAACTAACTTGAATACCCTTCACCCAAGGAAGCTTTGTGGCAAGTTTGATTGAAATTGGTTCCGTATAACTTGAGAAGAAGTAAAAAATGTGAAAAGTTTACAGACAGATGGACAGACAGCTAGACAGACGGCCGCCAGACAAAATGTTATCAGAAAAGCCCACTTGAGCCTTCGGCTCAGGTGAGCTAAAAAGTAGGTCACGATGACCTACCTTAGACTTAACATGATGTGAAGTCCTAAGATGCATCAACTTACAAAGATCTGATGATCGTTTTATAAAGTGCAATTTTTGGTCAAGTTTGAAGCGACATTGAGAGGGGGGGGGGGGTCCCTCCATCTTTTCGTCTGGTACCTGTGCTTGCAACACTCAAGTGACCTCCTTGTGATCGTATTACCAGTAGGTTTCTAAAGTCTTGCAGGGAAGACATATATTACGCAAAATATACATCTACAATAGGCACTAGCATAGTGTGTGAGGTAATTGAAATGACAACTAAGTCCTTGGTCCAGTTTAATGACCTTAGGTCAATAAAGGTCATAGAAAACTATTACACTGTACAAGTACACTGTAGAAGTTTTAACAAAGATTATATTAGCAAGGGTTGTAAAATCACTCAATTGAATACTAGTATTCTGCTGTTTAAGTTATCTTTCTTGCCATTACAAAATCGCTAAATCCATTTATTCCTAAAAAATATTCCAACATGCTAAAATTGCCACTTCCTTAAAAAAGTTCAGGGTAGGAAATCTTTTTTCAGTTTTTTTTTTTTAATTTGACGATAAAAAACTTCAGACTTCTGTGCTACAAGTCAAATCCCACAATCACCTCTCTGATACATGAAGTCTATCTTCTTTCAATAAAACTTCTTGAAATAACAAACAACTTGTAGACGAACTGTATTTTATTTATGTGTAGTACTTGTCTATTCACAAATGATAAATATATAAAACAGAATCTGTATAGAAGAAAAGCTCTCAAGACAAGTAAATATTATTATTATTATGACTGTTAAATTTCATACGCTGGATTTTCAGTGAAACAAAAAAAAAATCAGGGCTATATGAATAAATATCGACTGTAATTGAATACATTTCAGTGGAGCCCGAAGATATGTTGATGACAAAGAGCTTTAGAAGCAATATACCAATGGATCAACTCGCAAAAATGTACCAACTCTCGCTCTCTCTCTCTCTTCTCATCCACAACACCACATGCTAACGAGAAAAACTCGGACCTAATAGGAAAACTCAAAGAATTGGGTCTGACCTGTAATGCTATAGTGTTGGAATGTTGACATTTGAATTCCCCAAGAAAAAAAAAATTTAAAACTTTGTCCACTAGAAAAAAAGAAAAAAAAAACATTAAAGCTTGTATTGGATATTAAACAAACAAAAAAGTTATAGGTCTATTGCCCCAGAAATGACAGCCCTTTAAAAAAAAAAAAAAAACATTGCTTTTTGGTGGAGAGAAAAAAAACATAGCCTTTAATCTTAACAGTCTGGGACTAAACAAAAAAAACGGAAACAGGTGAGTGAAATTAAATCTCGGACTACTCCGTGCATACAAGGAGAAGAAAAGATCACCCTCGTATAAAATAGGGGTATTAAATTTTTTTTATAGAAAAGATAATCGCATGTTAAATATGTTAAGTAACACAATAATGCTTGACAAGTAGCTCACACAATATTTCAATTAGCACATTGAAAAAAGAGAGAAAGAAATCACATTGATGCACATACAAGTGTAACTTCAAGTTCCTACATCCACAGAAGTCAATTGAGAGGACACAGCTTATACAAATTTGAAGAATCAATTTTTTTATCTTTTTCCCCTAACATCTTCATTTTTTCATCACCCACACATTTAAAAAAAAAAAAAAAATAAACATACTAAACAGTGCAGAAAATAATGTATTACCACCTCAATTATCAGGAAGGTGTCTTAGACAAGTTCTGCCCACAGATAACGGAGAATTTAAAACACGTAGAGAAATCTCAGTCACGATTTTGTTATGTCCCCTAAGAGTTAAACACTAAAACAAGGTACGAACTCCTTGTCACAATAAATAACTCCCCCATTACTGTGGGCCTCTCTGTCACCTCCCATGTATACAGTTTATAAATCCTCCTTTCTTTCCGTTCACTAGATGGCGCTGGCGTGCTATTGTTTACTATTCTTCAGCGTGTTCGACAGCCAATCCAGACCCTCGTACAATCCGTCCCCGCTGGTGGCGCACGTCGCCTGGATGTACCACGATCGGTTACGCAGACTGTGGAGGCCTAGTTTATCTGTCACTTCTGCGGCGTTCATGGCATTTGGCAGATCCTGTACATTGTTAATTAAATGATAATTAACAGAGAAAAAAGTACAAATCAAGTTCATTGGTTGATTTAATGATTATCTAGGAACAATTGCTTAAGCAATCTTTATGCATTAAAGACAAACTCAAACTTGCACAAGTCTTAATCTTCTAAATTATTTCAAAGTATTTAAAATTTCTTTTGTTCTATTGACCATGTTGACTCTGCAATCTTTTAGTTTTTTTAAATATACCTTTACTGTACTCAGATTTGAAAAGTTTTAAAATACATGGATGTGCAATTTTTTTCATTAAATAGAAAAAAAGAGAAAAAGAAAGCCTTTTTAATATCATAATAACTACAGTCAAACCTCATTCCAGAGTTGTGGAAAACTTTTTCAGATAGCCGGTCATTCGGACCGACAAGAAAACAAATTAAGCCAGTCCGAAGTGATTTTTGACGGTCCGAAATAGCAAGTTGCAAAATGGAAAAAAAGCATAACATTTATTCATTTTGTAAAACATCTATTTAATAAACCATGTTGATAATAAAACAAAATTCAGTCTCCATTTCCAAGTACTCTTCCGTTTTCTTTTAATTTTGCATTCATAACAATACTAGATCGATACAATTATACCATCGGTTTTTTGGCAGGAGACAATGCTAATTCAGCAGTCAACGCATTTTTGTATAACATTTATACATTTTGGAATTATATTTACCTAGAATTCTTTGCATCGATAATCTGATAATAAATATATCAACACGAACGGAGAAAAAACGAAAATCCGGGACAGTCGGAAATACTAGGTTAAATGCCTTCTCCACCTGTGCTTGAATTTCTTTTGTTGAAATTTTTCATATTTAGCTCGTCTTTATCTGAAGTTTTCCTTTAATATGTTTTCTACCTAACTCGGCCCCAGTTGTGCATTTAATAGGTCATGAGAACCATGCTAGTAAGTTTCACTTTCATTTACAGCCTCGATCTCGTTTAAAGAAAAGGTATTATGCAATCGCATATAAGATACGATAATTAAGATGGGAAATGCACAAAACAAAAAAAAATTTTAACCAAAAAAGGGGCCGGTCATTTGGACCGACTTTGAAGGCATTTTTACCGGTCATGCGAATTTTAAGCCGGTTTTGCCGGCATGACCGACAGTTTTCCACAACTCTGTCATTCTCTGGATGTCAGTGTTCAAGATACCAAAGTTCACCTGTAGATTCATTAAAATATGTAAAAATCGAGGGGTCTTCCACTTTGATAGTATACTGACCTGTTTATTACAGAAGACAAGAAGAGCAGCGTCTCTGAGTTCATCTTCATTCAACATTCTGGTGAGTTCCTCGCGGGCCTCTGTGATACGTTCTCTATCATTACTGTCTACCACAAAGATTAACCCTGAAAGACAAACACAACCTGGTTATGCATGAAAAGTAAGCAGCTAATGAAAGTCAACCAGCAGTCTTAAACATGTCAAACCAAAACAATATTTTTTTTTGAACAGGGTAATTCAACTTTACCATCAAATTCATGAACTATGCATTGTAATGTTTATTTTGGTCAAACAGAATGACCAGAGTACAAATAATATGTACATTTACCATGTTTACAAATAATAGAAAAAGAAAATTCTTTATGGAAAATGACCAATAAGGAGCAATAAAATAGCATGGGGCACATATGTCTGTAGCTTCCATATAAGCTTAAATGCAAAGAATTTTTCTGATCTAAAAATAAACTTTCTTTCTTCTCAAAAATGTAATTTAAAGCATAATGGGATTTGTGCCCTGCAGTGTGTAACATCTACTAACAGTATTTACTTCATGGGGTTTTTAATGTAATTTATTTGAGCATGAGTTTACTGACCCAGGTCTTTGGACTGCTGAGGAATTTTACAAATCTAGATTTATCTGTGACCTAATGACAGACCAATGACCCGCCGGGCCAATCTTACCTTGTGTGTTTTGGAAGTAGTGCCTCCACAGGGGTCGGATTTTATCCTGACCCCCCACGTCCCACACCGTAAAACTTATGTTTTTATATTCTACCGTCTCCACATTAAAACCTAAAATCAAAGAAAAAAGCATTGTAGTGAACAGCAAATGTCTTACAACAGAAATACTGAATCTAGTTGCAAAGCTTTGACACACATTACTCTGAAGCAAAATCAAAAGTCTACGATTCCCCCACATTGGTTTCCCTTTAACCATATACACATGCATTCTTGCAAGGCCAAATTAGTGGGAAAGGTTGTGTTTGAATATATCATATGTCCAATCACCATGATCACGGTCACCTTTTAATTTAAATTTTACGGTCCTATGTTCTGTGCTTACCTATAGTGGGAATAGTTGTGACAATTTCTCCTAATTTAAGTTTGTACAGAATCGTGGTTTTTCCGGCCGCATCAAGACCCACCATCAAGATTCTCATCTCCTTTTTCCCGATCAAACTCTTAAATATACTACTAAACACGCTCCCCATCTTGAGCTACTGTTGGTCAATGCTCGTTAATCAATATTACCTGAAAATATAGAAAATTTATACAGAATGTATTACTATAACATGATATACAAAAGGATAATCACTCTATGTTCGTCAAAGAGGGAAGTTTTATTTCATTTATTCCTCAAAAACTACCTCAATATGAAATAAAACAACGAATGAGTTATATCAATTTCTGTTTGTGTTTACAAATGTAGGATAAAACCAGACTCCTGAGTATTCCATTCCAGGGTCTCTGGTTTTATCCTTCTTCTATAACCCCAACCAGAAATTGATGTATCTGATGTCTCATTTTGTATCAAGGTAATTTTTGAGGAGTTAATGTGTTTGGTTTTTTTTTTTACATTAAAGAGGCTCAACCAGAAACACTTTTTAACGACTTGACGAGAAAAAATTTTTCGAAGAGAACAATGTCATTTTAAAGAAAGTTAATGATAGATATTCTAACAAAATATGAGCTTAAAGCGGGGGTGCCTGAAATTTGGTTACTTACATTTTGGTAAAACTAAGTAGGGGACTAAGGGTACCCCTAGACAGAAAAATCTAACTGAGTCTAGGTACAAGTCCTCACCACAGTTAGAATACGTCCCATATACTTGTAATGTAGCAAATCGGAGCGGATCCACTCCAAAACGATATTGAAGAATATAAAAGGATTTGCACTGGGAATAACTACCAAATTAATCAAAACAAACCTTTTTAATTAGCTTATGCCTTTTATCCCCCAAAATAATCCATATAAAGACGAAAATCCAATTAATTTTCTCCATGTTTTTCTCTCGCTTCAAATTTACCTGCCATATTTACATTTGCCCGCATTTCTTTTGCTACATTACAAATACATGAAACAAATTCTATCGTTAAACCGGGTCCGTTGGTAGGACAATATCATTTTAACAAAAGAATGTTCTATCTAGGGGTACCCCGTATTAGAAACAGGTGCCTGTGCCTTGCACTACAACTCTCTGATTTAAAAATCTAATATTCTATCAAGCTACTGCTCGTAAGCGTGTGACCTCACAGTATAAAACACACAACAATTATTTGAGTATCAGTATTTCAGTACAATTTGGTAGATCCGACCACAGGACCATTTTATATGCAGTGAGTATACCCACAGTGACCCAAATAAATAATATGTACTGTAAAACAAACAAAATTAAATCATAAAAAGCAAATATTTTAAAGCTTCAAATGCTTACAAATTAGATAATAGTTTAGACATTATGGGGAGTAGCACAACCTAAATGTCATACTATGTATTCTGACATCACTTCTTAGAAACTTTTCAACCAGTTAACAGAGATTAACCCCTTCCTGTGTAGATAAAAACATTTCTCTACGGTTTAATGCTTTAAATGGAAGCAACAAAAGGGTTATACTTCTCCCTCAAAGACCCTCAAGAGAGGCAATTTTCACCGTAGGTCATACTTCTTATTGTCATCGCAAGACGAGTCACAACCGGAAGTAATGTCTTTTTACCGTTTTTCTGTACCTTGGAGGCATTTCAACCAAAATTATTAACGCATTTCATCTTGTACTCACCTTATACACGTCCTCACCTTTTATGGTGCGTTATCAATAAGTATTTTGCTTTAAAATTATGAAATACTCGGTAACCTATTCTTTGGGACGAGTCAAAATGGCGGACGTGGAATAGTAATCGTTGCACATGCCACGTCAATGACCCGCATTTGGGATGGATGTATTGAGCAATACCCCTATCCCAAGGGAGACTTTATTGTACAGACAGAATTTTATTTCTGTTTGATTTTAAATGGAAGACAAATGGACATGAAATATATTTGATTATTAGAAAAAATAATAAACTACGCAAATAAAATATTTCTTTTATTTAGAAACATCGCATTTGTTTATCGAGCGATTAAGGGATCAGTAATTGAAATAAAATGGCGCGAAATTTTAATTTTGTAAAGTTATCATTTTCTTTCATACATATATATATGTATCTATAGCAAACCATTGGTAATTCGATAATATATCTAAATAAAAAATGAATTCAAGCCTTATAATATACGGTTCAACGCAATACAATAAAAATAGATATCCGTAATCACATCATTTTCAAATTTATTTTATGAACTATACTTGTTGAGTTATTCGATCATGATATTCGTCTACCTAAAATATAATTTTAAAAATATTTACCACAATGTTTAAGTTACTTTCTATAAGTAAATAGTGACTAAACTGGACTACGATAAAAATGATTTAAATGATATAAATTCAGAATAAACCTTCAAATTCTGCAGAGGGAACACTTACACATATCATCAAAGAGGGGGGGGGGTGTATACATAAAAAAGATGTCATTTACAGCAGACCGGTTGGTCCCCTTCTTTTTGTTGAAGTAAAATCAAATAAGGTTAGTATCGTAGCGTTTTAACAAAATTTGGTACTTAAAGAAATGATATTTCAAGTAAGTTTTATTTCTCTTGTTGATCGGATCATCCCTCACAAAAACGAATGAGAATTCACGAGGCGACTTGCATACAATGGTGAGTGTTGCTGAAACCATAAGTACTTTTGGACAGGACCCCCACCCCTATTTTAACCCAGGGCTTAATGGACATTTTTTCCCACAAGTTACATTAATTACACTTATTCATCATGTGTACAATAGGAAAAAAGATCGAAAACCTCCAAAATAATCGCTCCTCCAAAAAAATAATAATAATAATAATACCCTACTATACATTATCTGGAACGTGGAACAGAAAGCGGAACGTGAAATCAATCATGCCAGGCAAATAACCTGAGACATAAAAAGCATCATTCTTGATACATGTAGTGTATAAAAGTCATAATAATTAAAAAAAATTATTGTAAAATATTATAAATTCATGTATGCACCCCTTAGAATTGACACATGTAAATATTAATGCGATAGTCAATAAAATACATATTGACATATTTACATATTGACTATAGACTCAAATCTTGAGTATACATTTGAACGTTTAAGTTTCGTACAAATCCATTTAAAAAAATTAATATAAAATACATACATCTATTTGTAAAGACAAAAATAACAAGTCTTGACATTCAGATTATAGACCCTAGACCCCCTGCCTAAACGAAGTTACCCCTCCCCCCATCACAAATCCTTTTGTCCGCGCATGGACTATATACACTGTGTATGGTTCATCTTTGTCTCGCCCAGAAAATTACAAATAATGTATACTGTGTAGTAAGTTAGAGAACAAATATGTACTGAAAGAAATTTGAATTGAAAGGGGGGTCGAGTCAGGAACGATTCCCCTCCAGAATCATAAAAAAATGTCTTCCCTTTTTTCGCTTGTCTTTTTTTTTTTCAAGCAAGTTGATTATCCCCCCCCCCCTCCCCCAGTGATGAGAATATATACATCTCTGCTATATAATATTATGTTAGCGAATGTGTAAGATATATCGTTTTGATAAAATTGTTACTCTGAGTGATTAAATCTGAAATTATATTAAAATTCCGTTTTCTGCTCCAATTTCCGTCCCCTTTTCCGTTGTAAGATATCGTTTCTGACAAAATTGTTACTTTGAGTGATTAAATCTGAAATTATATAAAATTTCGTTTTCTGCTCCACTTTCCGTTCCGTTTTCCGTTCCGCGTATATCTGAAGGGAGGAAAGGGGGGAGGGGTCGAGACAGGTGTACTTGGATCTTGGATTATTAACATGTATGAGGGTTGTTAGAAAAGTTCGTGGACCCTTTGATTTACGGAAAATCTACATGTATATTGTACTGTGAAGTGTGACTTATGTCTAATTAAATTCCCATCTTTTGTTCATTAGTATGTAAAAAATCAGGTTCATTTACTAAAGTATAGAAATTTTACAAAGATTTTACTGTGATATCATAGGATTCAGGGAGTAACAGCTAGGCACGTAGCAACGGGGGGGGGGGGGGGGGGGGGGGGGGGCTGTCCCCCTTTTTTTCCCAACATTATTGTCCCCCGCTTTCGCGAAAGCAACGGGACATTAAATCTCATTTGTCTGTCCGTCTGTCCGTCTGTCGGTCCGTCAGTCTGTCCGTCCGTCACAAAAACTTTAACCTTGCCCATAACTTTTGATTTAGTGGAGCTTTAATTTTCATATTTCATATGTGTATTCCTTGTGATAAGACCTTTCTTTGGGTATCACTAAATTTGACCTTTTGACCTTGACCTTGGAGTTTCAACTACTTTTACTAAAAAATTCCAAACTTTTACTTTGGCCATAACTTTTAAATGGTGGGTACTAGGACTTTCATATTTCACATATTTATTCTTTATGACAAGACCTTTCAAAGAATACCAACAACTTTGACCTTTTGACCTTGACCTTGGAAATTTACGTACTTATGAAAAAACTATATCTTTGACCATAATTTTTGAACGGTAAAGGCTACGGCTTTTATACTTCACATATTTTATTCTTGTAAGAAGACCTTTCATTGGATACCAAGAACTTTGACCTTTTGACCTTGGAGTTTTAACTACTTTTTAAAAATTATAACCTTGGTCACAACTTTTGAACGGTAGATACAAGGACTTTTATATTTCACACATGTATTCTTTGAGGCAACACCTTTCATTGGATACCAACAACTTTGACCTAAGGACCTTGACCTTGGAGATTTACGTACTTCTGAAAAACTTTAACCTTGACCATAACTTTTAAACGGTAAGGGCTAGGGCTTTCGTACTTCACGTATGTAATCCTTGTGAGAAGACCTTTCATTACATGCAAAGAACTTTGACCCTTTGACTTTGACCTTGGAGTTTTAACTACTTTTTAAAAACGTTAACCTTGGTCACAACTTTTGAACGGTAGAAAATAGGACTTTCATATTTTAAATAATTATATGTATTCTCTATGGCAAGACCTTTCATGGGATACCAAAAACTTTGACCTATTGACCTTGACCCTAAAAATGATATCTTGCCCACAAAGATACTGAAAGCGGGGGACCACAATTCATTGAATTTGCTTGTTTTTACTATTTGTAATTTGTATTTGTATCATTGAAAGGCTGGCCCCCCACCCCCAGTATATACTATATGTAATTGATATCAGGGTAATGTAGTATTGAATTCTAAGAAATTTGTACTGTAAGTAATTGACATTGAAAAAAGTTTGTCCTCAAGCCATAGCGCAACATCCATGCAATAAGCATGATAAGCGGGGTAATGCGATATCGCAGGAGCTTATCATTGAAAATGTTAATCCTTCCATTTTTATAAAGCTAATACCTTTTGAATACTTTTGTCCTTTGTACGAAAAGACAATTTCAGCAGCATCTTGAAGCATTTTTGTCTCTTTTTAGACATTTTCCTGTACGCACACATAATTTTAGTAGCTCGGCTCGGTGCTCCATGACGTTCCCATTCTTGGCTTTAGCGCGTTGCATTTGATTATATATTTAAAAATACAGTCATAAACCCTCCAATTTTATTCAAAATTTCGCCAAGTAATGTTTCATGAAAACTGTAGCGATGGGCAAAATATCGTTCATCATTTTGTGAACTTACGTGCGAAAACGAAGCATATGCTCCGTGAAGCATGTTTTATCAAATTAAAATAGCTGTATCTTTTTTTAAGGATTACCGGAAAATACCAAATCTTTGTACATTAATTTGAAAATAGGTAAAGTTTACAATTAAATCTGGAGAGTTTTAGTGGTTAGGACTTGTCCGCGAACTTTTCAGATTCTAACAACCCTGGTACACGTACAGTGTACCTTATGATATGTAAAAAAAAAAAAAAATACATATCTATATTAAAGGTATATACATGTACATATTTATATTCTAAGACCCAAGTGACTGTGGACGATTTGAAAAACTGAATAAGTTATCATTTTTGTGCGATTTCTTTCCGGAAAGATTACTTCCGATCGTTTCTGGTAAACTGTTACATTACAGGTAAGTGTTTGAAATATATACCGCACAAAACGTAAATAATTCACCTGGGGAGTTCGACGTGTGTACAAATAAACCCAGGATTTTTCTGTCTTTTTTGAACTGAAAGGAAAGAAAAAAGTGAAAAATGTTTATCACATAAACAGGTAAGCTTTTAAAACAAAGTCTTCCATGACTTCTTTAGTCAAAAAAGTCTCTAAATACTGACAAGGGACTGGGAAATACTGTTCTCAAATATGTTTGTCTGGTTGGGACAGAAAAATAGGTCAAATCGTCAAACACATACCTCTGCGTATTGATTGGGTTATATCTTTCTATCTGATAATAACGTTTTTGTAAAATTACTAATGTGCAGGTATATATTCAAACTTGGAATCATAGGATTTCACAAAGAAAGATACGATTATTTGTGTGAGGTAAATATAGTGGCGGATCTTACATTATGTACAGTTATGTAGATGGAATGTCAGGTATTTTTCAGGGCGCTTTAATTAATGATTCACTACAGGTGTGACTTACCTGGGAAATAGGATCATCGCTTAAATGTTTTGAAATTAAAATTTGCATGGTTAAATGATCATCATTGTATCTAAAATGTAGAGTGGGAGGTTCACATTATTTACTGAACAGTTGTTGAATACCTACACATGAATACTTATACACATGATATATATGTACAATGTGTTACAGTGTGAAAGTAGGTAGAGAGAGAGAGAGAGAGATTAACATATTTTTTTTTAGCATGAAAATATGAAAGATACTCTAAACATCGACAAAATTATTTCCAATAAGATCGAACTAATAAGTATAAAAATATAATTGTAAACCATGCAGTATAAATTTGTACTGATTGTTGTTGAACATATGGTTGAAGCAAACCACACACAATAAAGATGTAAATTTTTTAACATATTTCTACTTTAGAAAATTTGAAGGCGTTTATGTAATATTTAGTCTGAACCAGTGTAGATGTATTGTAAATTTTAGCATGTTTAGAGCAAGATGGCATTTAAAGTGTGAAAATGTATTTGGTACTTTAACTAGCACAAATCGGCCCTGTAAAACCTGATAATCAACTAATCTTGATAAATGTTTGTGAAATTGATGTTGACACTAGACATGCAATTTGTCTCTTTGTGTAGTTTGGTCAGTTTTCAACCCCCTGGAGACATGACAGTGAATAAAAAACCAGATTTATTGCTGACCTAAAAAAGTGAACCTTTTTTTTACCCTATGGGTCAAATAAACACATGTAAATAAACATTAAACAGAAAAATATTAGGAAAATGTTATAATGAATCAATATACCATGGGATATGTTATCAAAATAAAATCAGAAGACAAACCAGAAAATAAAAAACAATTTTTTCATCATCTCAAGTCATGGTCTGCCAGCTCCAATTATACAGAGTATCTCCCTACTCTGCCCCCCCCCCCCCCTTCTGACCCCCTGCCATTTCCTTCAAACAGTGTCAGAGGTACATTGTACCAAGTGAACATTGGGGATGGGGTGGGGGACTAGGGGGACTTACCTGTACGAAATGTTCCGCCTGGAATATAGGGGGAATTGAGGCGTACTTGGAGAGGCGTAAATTTGTCTCTCTACATATATGGTGATACATAGGTTCCGGGTGTAACTTAGGCGGAAACCAAGTGTAAATGGGCAGGAATTTGAGGCGAAAAATGCAAATGAGCTACGCCCGGAAAAATAAATGACGCCCGTAAAAAAATTACGCCTGGAAACTAAAATGACGCCTGGAATAGAATTACGCCTGGAATGTCCTTATTATTATATAATACTATGTGACCTAAAAACCTATATATTTACCATGTTAACAAAGAAAAACATTCAGATTATGATTTACAATGTTAAAGCTAAAAATTTAGCTTTTTGAACTGTAAGAAAACATAATGACAGGTCATTAACATATATCATTAACAAATATAGAAAAATAACATGAATTTTGTGCATTAGGGACACTAAAACACGACCACCATGATTGAGTGTGTATTTAGAATTGAACTTTTTTCAATACCTGTACATTTTATCACTTCAATAATTATATTGAAACATTTTAGTTACTGACTGAATACAATTCTTCATTTACTCAGCAGTTAGATTCTCACTGCAGCCTCTATCAGACTGATATTTCTCAGAATGTGACTGCAAGGACAAACTCAAATATCTAAAGTAATTTTAGGGTCAACCAGTTATAACTATCATTGTACATAATCATAATCAAATTTACCCAAATAGGTACTAGATATTCATGATCACACCTACCAGCAGACACTGTGTCATCCTCAAGAAGTGTAAAAGCCTTAACATTGAGATATCTGCATTTCCTGTTTCACTCGCACTAAACTCCCTCCTTCATGATCAAATTCAAACTTAACTTCCTATCTGAAATGACCCTTAATTGATAATTAATTGACCAATCAGAGGCTTTTACTTCTCCTGAAAGTTCCAGGCGTAATTTTTGTTTCTATTTTCCTGCCATTTTACGCCCGGAAAATCTGAACTTGCCAATTGACGCCCGGAAATTACAAATGACGCCTGTAAGACGTTCTTCTACTGAGGCGTAACTTTTCGAAAATTCCGTCTCCGCCTCAAGTACGCCCGGAATTTGCCAATTCCTGCTCAATTCCACCCAAATTCCAGGCGGAATCCGCCTTTAAAATTCATACAGGTTAAGCCCCCCCCCCCAACTTTTTTTGCAAAGATATAGAAATTATATAGGCATTGGAAATTGGGGTTTACCTTTTTTTGTTGGGTTAATTAGCCCCCCTCCCCCCACTTTCAATTAGTCCCACCCCCTCCAACCCACTTTCAATTTGTTAATTCAGATGCCTATGTTGTATTCATTGGTTATGATGCTTATACTTTATATTGTTTTACAGCCTCACTATGAATAAACACCAGGAGGCGCTGATCATAGCGCGGGAGGAGGAGGTGATGCGACACGGTAATGTCCTCTACGGATTGGTCAAACCACTCAGGGAGGGGAAGGAACTCCTGCTGGAATCCTCCGCCGCCATGGTCAACGTTCTACCAAGAAAGAGGTAAGACACCTCTAACAAAGCTTAATCATTAAAATGGTAAATTTGTCAATATCAGAGTATACCCCGGCCCTGCTTGAAAAGTGTCTGAGTGTATGTGTAGTGATCAGGATGCCGATCCATTTGTATTTTATATTTTAGGGTACCTATCTTTTAACCACAACTACTCTTTTACCACTGAATGAAATTTAATTGATTCAGCCTTTCACAGAATCTTAGTTACATCATGCCATTGTGCACATCCTTATGTTTTGATCCAACACTTCTTTCGGATCTCAAAGAGCAAAACATGGACTTTACCATAATGATTATAATCATATGGGAGACAGTGCTCACAGTACCTCTAGTTTTGATATAAATTCATTAAAGAAACCCTTATACTCTGAGTTTCAACAAAAATGTCTGACAGGTGCTTGCAATTCCAGTGTATTTTAACTTTTCTGTTTACTAGGATTTACCGGATGGGTAGTAGTGATGAATTGGAGACCTTCCGAGCTGAACTATTAAAGCGCCCTCTAGTCGTCCAGCCCATTGTTTTGGCGGGATCGGGATTTCAGTCCATCAACTGCTTCTTCTCAGTTCAGAGAGGTGAGGAATTTAATCAACTTAAGAATCCATAAACAATGAAAACATTCTGATAAGATACAGTGGAATATTTTTTTTATTTGTCGGGGTCAGGGTCATCTTTGGTAAGCAGAATTTACTTAGTTTTTGGGTATGTATTTTTGTAGGTTACTCATTGTACCCAGCCCCCGCTTGAAAAGCAGGAGGGTATATAGTAATCGTTATGTCCATCTGTCTGTACGTCTAGTTGTCTGTACATCCGTCCATCTACCGGTATCTGTAACACTTTGGGGTATCCATCTCTTATCTGCAACTCGATCCTCTCCTACCACTGAATGAACTTTGATGAAACTTTTACAGAACCTTTATTACATATTGCCATTGTGCACCTCCTATTTTACTTTTTGATCTGACACATATTTTGGGTTTCCCACAACAAAACATGGAGACTCCCATTATAGTCATATGGGAGGCAGGGGGTATCATTTAGTGAGCTCATTGCTAACAGTAACTCTTGTTTATATGGTGGATTCAATAAATCAATTTATTAAAATGTTTACAAAATAAATTAATATTCATCAAGATGAATTTGAGATTTTATACCTATATTTGTGTTTGAAGAGAAATGGACGGTGATGATTAACCAGACCCACCCTAAGATCCTTGGGCGACTTCTGATGGGTATAGATGCAGCCAAGCGGATCATGAGACGAGGGGAACCCTTCGTACTAGAAGTAGGTGAAATATATAACAAGACTAGTCAGGCTAAAAGAGAATTCAAAATAGCTGTATTATCATGTCTATTATACAATACTATTTACCATTTTTTAAAATTTCTTGTAGTTTGTGTTCAGTGATATTGTACGTCGGTTGTACTATGATGTAGTTAGGGGCGGTACCAGTTCCAAATATAAGTACACAGACTGTGAATTTGGAGACTTGGTGATTCGCTACCCAGGGGATTTCAGACATCAAGGAATCAAATGGGAAATGAAGGTAAAATGTTTAAAAAATAAAACGAAGCCCCTTAAGCGTACCTACAAACTAAAGTCCCTTAACCCACATACCAAATGAAGTCCCTAAGCCCACATACCAAATGAAGTCCATAAGCCCACATACCAAATGAAGTCCCCAAGCCCACATACCAAATGAAGTCCCTAAGCCCACATACCAAATGAAGTCCATAAGCCCACATACCAAATGAAGTCCCCAAGCCCACATACAAAATGAAGTCCCCAAGCCCACAAACAAATGAAGTTCCTAAGCCCACATACCAAATTAAGTCTCTAAGTCCACATACCATATGAAGTCCCTAAGCCCACATACCGAATGAAGTTCCTAAGCCCACATACCAAATGAAGTCCCTAAGCCCACAAACAAATGAAGTCCTTAAGCCCACATACCAAATAAAGTCCGTAAGCCCACATACATATACAAAATGAAGCCTTGTGCCAACTTCTAAATGAAGTATGCTATTTATAATACTAAATATGGATATTGTAGTTAATTTCATTGCAGAGAGTTTTTTATAATCAGACTACTTGGTATACCATTGAGAAAATACATGGATATTTTTAAATTTCTGGAGTATATATTTCACAAAATATCCCTTTGAAAAAAATGTTGGGATACTCCAAATTCCTTATGATTTTTCCACCCTCACAATTTTAATGGTTCAAAGTACAAAAACTGCATTTATTTTTATTTATTATATTTTGAATTTACCAATTATCATGATTATCGCAAAAAAAATTTTTATGTCGCCATATTATTTAAGACAGGAGACATAAATAAACAGAAGTGTATATCAGCATGAAAAAATCATAATTTTTTGGAAAATAGTATTGTAAATATACCGGTAATGTTAAAACTGGTTCAAATGCATAATTCTGATACTAAGAGTTCCAAAATACTTAATTGCTACTTATAAGATACTTTTGAAATGTGAAATACTGAATATGAGAGAAACTTACAATAAAGAAAATGTCTGAATGAAGATATCTGAGAAGGAGTTATTGCCCTTGTCACAATTTTTCAAAGATTGAGTACTGGTAATTGATTAAATAAGGAAAATATACATTTTAAAAGTTCTTTTACTTAACAATTTTTATCATGACACCTATTGAAATGCATTTTTTCAAAAAACGTTGTTCTATTGGGTATGAATTTAAATGAATATTTTAATTTACAGTTTTTACAAAAACCTATGATATCATAGGAGGATGGAAATACCTTAATGAACGGACATTTCAGAAATCGTTCAAATGTTCTTAAGATTATATTTCAACTAATATCAAAATTCAATTTATTTGCAGGCTTCTAGAATGCGTTTTTCGTTTGATGACATCACTTCTTCAGAAATTCGAATTCGGGATTATGAAGAAGCAAATCGTGAGACTCAAGACACACGTATTATCGTGTTACCCCGTGGTGAGTACTGAGATATACGAGTCATATTGTATTTTTGTTTAACAGAATGTGTCTTATTACGTTAGAGATGGGGAAAAGCACTGTCTTCAAACTAAGATGAATATCTTGTTATTACAAGGCTTGCATTATTTCATTTTTCTTGATTGAAGAGTGTAGTCTAGAATGTCAGTACGTCTAGAAATGATAAAAAATTTATATTTTGATACCTCTTTTACTCTAGATGAATTACAAGTTCTTTTACCTGGATGGACGTTTGAGGAGGAAATCGCGGAGGAAAAACCTTACAATTACGAAAATTATCAGATATGTGAGGAACAAAATCACGCACCAATCCCTGCACCACGTGACACGTCACGTGAACAAACAGGACGAATCAGGGGTCGTTCTAATCGGAACACTAACGCTAAAAAGTATGAAGTGTCTGTAGAGCTACATGCTCCTACATCAGGTGAAATGACTCAAGAGACTAGCTTTGTTTCAAATGAATACAGAGGAGTGGCAGCATCTTCTGAGCCTCGGGGGCCTTATAGCGGAAATAGATTTGTTCACAGGTATCAGGGAAGTGGAAGTGGCCGTTCGGAATCCTCTAAAGCAGATAGTGGTTACGAGGGTGAGGTTGACAATGGCGGATTTGATGTCCAAAGACACGCTAGAGGGAAAAATTCTCACCCTCGGAAATTTTACACGCCAGAAAATACCAATTCAGTGCCATATGACAATCCTGCATTTACGCATGATCATGACAAACCTGCATTTGCAAGTGATTATGACATTCATCCCCCTTACAATGGCTACTCAAAAGGTAGTGTTGAGGGGTCACATAAATACCAGACAGATAGATATAACGAATGTTATCAAAACCAAAGGTCTCCCAGAAACATTGTGTCACATGATCATGACGTCATTACAGGTGCGCGGCAATTTCAGACGATAGAACAACTAGATGCCAGAATGACTCTACACCAGGACTACGCAATTTCACAATCTAGTGTTATTTAATACATGTTAATAAGCGCTTTCTTCTTTAAAACCAACTCAATGTGTTGATAATTGTTGATCTACAAATTTAAATATATACATATATCCATATTATACTGATATTCAAACTCATATAACTCCAATTTGTATCGGGTATATAATAGGCTCTGGAAGGGGATATGTATACACTGTACTATTTTTAGTTTATTGACTTATTTATTTTCATTGGTAGTAATATACATGCATAATTTTGTATGAAATGTCATTATACCTAAGTATGTAGACTAGCCCATCTTAAACAAAAATTTTTTCTAAGAATTTGTCACAGAAGTATGGGTACTTAACAAGTTTCCTCACAAAAATTTAGTGTACATTACCAGGCATCTGGCCAAGATACCATTGGGTCATATTTCTTATATAATAACCCTTATGTTTAATCTTCTAAATTTAACTCAAATTTTTGTGTACTTATTTTTAAAAACATTTTGAAAACGATTTAGAAATCAGAAGAGAATGGCTTATATGAATAATTTTTGATACAATACCAGAGATACAAAACATATATTTGAGGAACGTGTCGTCTGACCTTAAATGAGTAAAAACTTCAATGGTCAATAATTCCAGCTGAACTGAAGGTCTTACGATGTTAAAGAAATCAGCAATTCATAGTCAACCACCATGAGCTGAAAATCGTTCATTTGAAATTCTATATTCACATTTAATATTTAATATTTCTAATAATTATTTTTAAAGAGATATTTTTTAAAGTGTTTTATTTGTTATATATAAAAGGAATGTTCTTGTCCTCAAATATTAGCGTTCACAAAGGTGAACACTGTACAGCTGCATGTCTCTATGGATAAAATACGTTTAAAAGTTGTCATTTTATATTAAATGTAATCTATTTAATTTATGAGAGAAAGCAAAGGACTATAGGGGTTTAGGATAACTAAGTAAAACATATATTGTGTTAATTTTACATATAATCTTATTTGCGTATTAATTGCAAAATATGGAATGGCCTCAATCAGTCACGGTTTTGGAAATGAACATTTTTATTATAAGGGAATTTTGAAAATTAAAATATCTGTATAGAAGACACTTTAAATTTTCATACGATTATTTTTATACATGATGCCAATACAATGATTTTAGACAAAACTGTGTACTGTTCAACAATACGTTTTTAAACTGTGATTTACTAATTATTAAATAAATTTCAAAAAGTTTTGTCTTGTTTTGGTGGAAGTAATAGCGTGCAGTTATTGTTTGAATAAATTACAGGGGCGGATCTAAGATATTTTCCTAGGTGGAGGGGGTCCACAACAAATAAATTAATGACTTGATAAAAAATACAACTTGTCTAATCCTGAAAATCCTATATGTATAATTATATTTAATTTCTTCAATAAATATGGAACTCGTAAATTTACTAACCTTATCATTAATCAAAATTTGCAAAATTATCTTGTTAAACACATTCTTATTGTACACTTGAGTCCCTGAAGTTAACACAAAAAGATGCTTGAGTTTCTGATTGACAATATCTGGTTTTTGGAGACCAGGTCATCCAATAATCTATTGGATTTCCTATGGGCCCCGTTATTAGATCATTCTTGTATTCAAATGAAGCAGAATTTGTCCAAAATCTTATATGTGAAAAGAAGAAAACACTTGCTGTGGCCTTCTACTCGATATTTAGATATATCGACGACATATTGTCAGTTAACAATGGTAACTTCTATTCTTATGTCGATACGTATATCCCTGTGAGCTTTAGATAAGATACCACAGAATCTGACACAACTGTTTCATATTTGGATATTTTAATTGAATGAGACGTTTATTGTAATCCAACAACCAAGTTCTATGATAAACATGATTTAACTATACAATCGTCATTTACCTTACTTGTGCAGCAATATACCTTCATCACCTGCATACGGAGTTAATATATCTCAATTGATTTGATAATTGATATGCAAGAGCATGCTCTACGTATGAACAATTTCTAAAATGAGCTAAATTAAGACATGTAAATTTTATTTCAAAATTATATGAGTCACCTTAGTTACCATGTGTAGGAATGAACAATTTGAAATGGTATAAGTTGATATAATAGCGTACATAACTTCTACTTTACTTTTTCGTGGACAGAGATTATGAAAAAGCAAGTTTCTTCAATAATAATATTGTGGATCCCACCAAGAAAGAGAGAGAGAGAGAGAGATCAGAGAGCAAATGCCTTTTTGGGGTAAAAATTCTAACATGATGTTAAGGTTTCGTCAAAGGTCAACATATCTAAAAAAAATTATATTAACAATAGCTCCAAAACTATGTGAGGTATAAAGTAAAAAGGTTTACAGTTTATGAATATATCACTCAGATTAATAGATAGAAAGTATCACTTGATAACAAATATTTTCAAAAAGAGTTTTTTTTTTTTTGAGAAAAATTGCATGTATCACAAAATGTGCATATTTTTAAAAATAAAAAGGAACCTGCTTAATTCTGTCCTTTTTGTGAAAAACATCATTGCAGAAATAATAAATGTTTATCATTGAAGGGCAAGTTGGATGTGAATTGTCTTCGAGAGGCTGTTATTGAAAGCATGACATGTTTGAAGACAAGACCCCTATAGAATCCGCCATTTGCAATGTATATATACATTGTATACTTTCACTTTCAAGTCTTAAGATTTAGACAAAATAAACAGGGAAAACAACTTTCCAGAGGCTATCCAAGTCCAACTTGCCCTTCATTGATAAATATATTTTGTTTCTGCAATGATGTTTTTCACTAAGAACACGGAATTAATTAGATGTATTTTTTGAAAATTATTTTAATTAATAATTTTTCCGAGTATTTTTTTATCAAGTGATACTTTCTATCTGTTTATCAATGAAAAATTTATAAACTGTAGAAGTTTTAACTTTATACCTCACATAGTTTTAGGGCTATTGTAAAAATGAATTTTTGGACATGTTGACCCTTGACGAAACCTTAAGCAGAATTGCCAGATTCTTGAAAATAGACCCCGACAGTACCTGTTATGTCCTTGTACCACTCCCGTCGAGCCCCGGGAGTCACATTTATCAATGAATTTTAGAAACTGAGAACTGCAAAGGTTTAGAATTGCATTACCCCCATATGATTTATGATCCACGAATATTTGGATGGTAAGTTGTCATACTAGCAAACCTTTTGATTATTACCTGAAGAAAGTATAGTATTGTTATCGGGCCTATTATACGGTATTTATTATATATTTTATCATGAATTAAACAAACAAAGTAAAATACCAAATTTTATTCCAATATGTTTACATTCATCAGTTATTTCCCTTTTATAAATGCTTGCACTCCGTGCATCAACATAATGCAAGGTAATGCAAAGTAACAAAAATTTAATGTAATGTAACATACATGTATATCATTGAGAAATAGATTTAATGGATCAGGATGTAAACAAAAAAGAATAATAATATTCTTTTGTTGTGAATCAAATTAAACATGTACACGTAGACAAATTTTACACTAACGCAGCTTTTTTTCAGCTCATACTTGATGTGAAGTGTTATGTATGTATGATTAGCTTTAAAGTAACACATTTAACATGTATTTGAATTTGAAAATTACGTGTAAATAACATAGTTGATTCAAGATTTTAATTTGTTACAACTAAGGCATGGAGATATATCTTTCATATTTATTTTAACTTATTATTGTCATTCAACTTTCAATCTTACTTTTCATAACTACACATTTTTACTTTTACTGCTTTTTTCTTCGATGTAATGTTTCAAGTATTAACATAAACAAATGGGAATTACACTGTATATAGTACTATGTAATATTCATTTTCATACCATGTTGCCGTATTCAACTTAACTTTCATTTTTTAAAGTTGCAAATCCACACAGGGGATCAGAATATTTTAATGGTCTTTAGGTCGCATCTGGTGTATACAGAAAAAAATTAATGGAAAACAAAAAGTTGGGACGTATTTTAAGTTTCAAGCATGAATCAAGTTACCTTGAATACTAAACGCATCCCACAAAACTATTAGAAATTACCATATTGCCCAATCTACATTTTTCAATTCAAGCATTTTATAATAAGTACTTTTAAATCCAATTTTAATTCCAGTTAATCAAATGGTTAGTTTCTTGGATTCTCCTAACTGGTGCTTATAATCATTAGATGATAAACATAAATGTTATATTTCTTTTTTCCTTCTCAAGGATTCCATTCTTAAATATTACAAGCATAAAATATTAAGTAGCCCTCGACTTATACTACGATATCGACTTATAGGCGAATTCGTCCTTGACACAGATTCCGTTATTTTTATCACAGTTTCCAGTCACTGCCTGGTTATTGTTTATACACGGTGACGTCTCGGTCTCCGTTATTTCAGAGTCTACAATTCTCCTTTGAATATCACTTTCACAGTTTGTTTCATTTTGAAAGGATGTAAGCAATGTTGAATCTGATTGGTTAATCGGATTATCGTCCTTTTCGCTTTTATGTGATGCATTCCCATTGGACGTCGGTTGTTTAACGGAATTTCGTGTCCGGGACAAAAACGTTCTTGTTGTTCTGATACTCCCGGTCCGGTCCGTTATGTGCCGGCGCCAAACTTTTCTGAATTCCGCCTGTACCTGGAGATAGAATGATGAACATCGCAAGGTATCATAGCAAGAAAAAAGGGTCGATCTCTGTCTTTGAAAATCATGATAGCACTTATTTTGATTGAAATATTTTGCGAAAAGGGGATGGAAATAAAAACATGGACAAACTCTGGTCTAATAGATGCCAAATTCTTTTTATGGAGAGATGGTTCTATTTTTCTTAAAACTATCAATCATTGCTACAAGTGAAATAAGATTCATAATTAACTTATGTAAGAAATCTTTGCAATAAAAATAAACAGGAATCTTACCTCAGCGTTCAGGAAACAGAAAAGCATCGCTAGGATAAAACCCTGAAATAAACAAAGGTTATTGAGATTTCAAAAAAATCAAAGTTATAAGCCGATTGGCCTAGTCTTATTCCATAAATTGCAGAACTATGATTTTATTTTTCAAGGGACCTTAACAGACAAATTCTGAAGTTCAAATCAACTACATCTTACTAGCATTGCTTAACACGTTTATACAGAAGTGCCAGGGATAAACGATTTTGAATATAAAGTGGCGTAATTGTTAAATTCGATACATTTAAAACTACAGAATACGGTATTTTTTAAGACACGTAATTCGTTATATCCGATAAATTTAAAACTACATTTTTTTTTTCAAATGAAAAGTGACGTTATTCGTTATATCCGATACATTTAGAAAAAAAACTAAGATTACTTTTTAAAGAGTGACGTTACTTGTTTTATCCGATTAATTTAAAATAAAAGGAAATTGTTTTTATGCCCCGCCATGAATATGGCAGGGGCATATAGTGTTTGTCATGTCCGTCTTTAGTCCTTCTGTCCTTCCGTCTGTCCTTCCGTCACACTTTGCATTTAGCTCTGTTCAAAGTTTCAAAGAAACTATCCAAAATATTTTCATCAAACTTCCTATAATGATTAGATATTTATGAGAGCTATGCAACTGCACCAACATTTTTTTGACCTTGGCCTTTCCTTTGACCTTGACCCCACTTTTCTTGAATTAGTGTTTAGCTCAGTTTTAAACATACCATTCAAGATGGTGTTATCAAACTTCACATGTTGATACACACTGATGAGAGCTATTCAACTGAATCAACATTTTTGACCTTGTCCTTTCCTTTGACCTTGACATCACTTTTCCCAAATAAGTGTCAAACTTCATATGCTGATACATACTGATGTAAGCAATTCAACTGCATTAACAATTCTGACCTTGACCTTTTATATTACCTTGACATCACCTTTTAGCAAATTGTGTTTATGTCAATTTAAATTAAAGACATTAATCAAACTTCATAAATGGACATATTGATGAGAGGTATGCAATTGCATTAACATTTTTTACCTTGACCTTTCCTTTGACCTTGACCTCACTGATTCCAAATCAGTTTCAAAATTCATATGCTGAAACATACTGATGTAAGCAATTTAACTGCATTAACAATTTTGACCTTGACCTTTTATTTGACCTTGACCTCACTTTTATCAAATTGTGTTTAAGGTTCATAAACCCTCTGCTCACTCATATGAAATTTTTCTTTAACTTTTATGTTTTTCCAAAGGAAATGTATATGCTGAATAAAATACAAACAATTTTAGCATGGCCAGCGGGCAAAATTTGACAAAAAAGGCACTTAAACTTAACAAATTTATAAAGGAATAATAGACATCTGTGTCAGTAAGAGTTATCTCTCTTATCAGAGTATCAATGTACCTTAAGTCAGTTTAAAGAAACCATTTATGATATTTTTTCAACTTCATATGCTGATACTTACTCAACTTTTCAACTGAATCAACATTTTTAGACCTTAGCCTTTCCTTTGACCTTGACCTCATTTTAATGAAATTAGTGTCAAACTTCATATGCTGATACATACTAACGTAAGCAATTTAACTGCATTACTTTTTAAGATATTCTGATCAAATTTCAAAATTTATACAAATTTAATGTTGCTTTACTAATATACCCTTGGCGGGGCATTCATGTCCTATGGACATATTTCTAGTTTAAAAAGTGACGTAATCTGTTATAAGCGATAAATTTAAAACTACATGAAATGCATAAGGCGTATTAATTAATTACCTGGAAGGAGTTAAAGAATAATTCTGACCACCATAAGATGAAATACATCATCGACTTCTCATCTAGATAGCCGAAGCTTGACATGAGGTAATTTGCAGTGTAGATGATGTAATAAACCCCAAACAGGGGGATCAGGATCAACGTGGACTTAGCCAAGCGTCTGAAAAACAAAGATAAAGCTTCAACTAAATGTTTATCCTGATTTTTTTTTTTTTTTTTTTTTTTTTATATAAATTTTGAAGAAGAAAGAAATCGATATCGTCATGGCCTACAAAAGGGGAACTATGAATTATATTTAAAATTCAATGAAATTCAGTATTAATCCAATTCTTTGACTTTCTTCACAATAATACATATAGACTCTTCCTTGGCGAGTATCATATACATGTACACAAAATTTTATTCACAAAGTAGAGTTTATTGGAGATAAGATACATTTTTAGTTTAGAGAAATCGAAAAACGTTTATAAGTTAGTTTCATTTCTTAGGTGAAGGATGTGGAGATGGCGAACAGTATTCTTTCAAAGTCCATAAAACAATCCAAAATAGGAACAGAGCAAACACGGACCTCCAACAAAACACCAAAGTGGGATAGGTGCCATGGAGGAGTAAGCATCCCCATCATACCGATCATACCCGCCTTGTGTTCCTTGTCATGATCGGGAAATAACGGAAAAATACGTTGTCAATTCAGTGTATAAAAAATGGACTAACAATTAATTTGAAAAATGTCAGTCAGCATTTGACTCGATCAATGATGAATTGTACATGCTTAGGTAAAATTAAACTTTAAGAATGTTGAAGTATTTCGAAGTATCTTTATTTTCCAAGGCTAGTCTTATATAGTTATTTTTTTTTATATATACCCATCTATGCCAAAAGAAAAAAGAGACATACCTATAAACACATTATTGTTTTGATACAAAAAGATTAATAAATGTGATAATCCTTTACACGTGATTAGTTTACGTAAATATACAACATAAGAATCTATACCAAGCATGCGTAAATTCTGTTTCCCATTGAAGGCAATAACATTCAGAAATGAATATTAAGCTATAACACAAAACCATATATACATGCATATTATAATATTTACTATATTCACTGACGTAAAAGAGAAATATAGAATCTATGTTTCTCTCTATGTTTAAGGTGACCAAAATGAATTTACTTCCGGTTGCTTGCACAGCAAGGTCAGCGTTCAGTCTGACCACTGAGAACTCACAATGCAAAGTCTTAAGTAAAAGTTAATAGGAAAAAGGGCTACTTTACATGTATATTCTTATTTGTCTTAAAACGTATATTAAACAAAAATACACCATCACAATCTACACATACAAACAACATACAACTATATCGTATGCACATGTTAAACATAAAAGTAACAGTTAACTAAATTTGGTTTTTAAAACAAACGAGACTAATTCGACCATATCATTAATGCCCCCGGAATGGAAGAACCCTGGGTACATTGGTTTTTTTCGTGTATGTCTGTTTGTCTGTCTATCTGTTGTCAACTTAACCTAGCTCATAACATTTGAGTTGGTAGGGCTATGGCTTTCATATTTCACAGGCGTATTCCTTGTGATAGGTCCTTTCTTTGAGTACCACCAAATTTGATCACTTAACCTTGGAGGTTGACACACTTTTTCTCAAAATTACCAAACTTTAATCTTGGCCATAACATTTGAACAGCTGGTATTAGGGCTTTCATACTCAACATGAATGTGTTTTTATTAAGACAAGAACTTTCAACGGGTATATTTATATTATTTATCTTTTAACTTTGACCTTAAAATTTGACTACCTTTTGAAAAATTTTAACCTTAGCCATAACTTTTGAACAGCTGAAACTAGGGCTTTTAAGGCTTTCATATTTCACAGGTTTATTATGACAAGACCGCCCTTTATAGATGCCAACAATTTTGACTTTTTGACCTTTGAGTTTGACTTCGATTTGAAAAAAGTTCGACCCTCGTCATAACTTGCCATATGGGTGTGTGTGTATAGGGGGGGATAGTGTATTTGAACCGGTTTTCCCGTAACTTTTATAATATTATTTACAAAAGTGTTTTTCTATGTTTACATATAAAACTGTTTATTTTTACTCTTATCTTTAATAATTTGTCAACCTATACCATATTTGGAATACTTGTAAAATTTTTTAAAGCTATATTAAATCAAAATAAAGGCAGACTTAAGTTTGTACTTTAATCCATAAAAATGTGAGAGTGGAAAAACTTTAAGCATTTCTTTCTGAGTTTTCTTCAAGGGTCAGATATGTCAATGAAACTTAATTTTTAAAAAAGCCACAAATAAACAACAATCAATCATAGCAAACGAACACTCGTTTTAATGGAAAGTATAATTTGATTAATAAAGTCTTAACAATGCATTTCTATGAATGAATAAGAGATACAAAAGACCTATGCATCGTAACTTTATCTACATTTTGAACATTACACTGAAAACTGCAGTCCTAAGATGGGAAGGGGGTGTATAACATCTGAATATTGGTAATAGACAAAGAGAAAAAACTGATGCATACACCATACATGTACGTATGTAGAAACCGTGTTTGGTTTTCGACCAGTACAAATAAAGAAAGAAATGAAACAAGTGTAAACAACTCTCAGGGATGAACACAATATACCAGTGTCTCCAGATTTACCGTAATTTGTTCACTAACCATTGCACATGCACATACATCTATGAACATCAGGAGTATTGCTAGACACCTAACAACCTATTAACTTAAAAAAATCCAACTTCCTGTTTACCTGATCATGTGACCATCAATGTGACTAAAATAGAAACAAAATGGCGTGGTGACATTCTATAACAACCGTCAAACAAAATTAAAATAACTGTAATTAAAATTTAAAGAAAAAAGAGTCATCTGAAACAAAATAAAAAAATAAAAGCCATTTCAGGACAGTCATTTTTCCACATTAAAGGATTCTGGATGCTAAGAAGGCAAGCTGGTGGTAGTCGTGAAATACAATAAAATATCCTCCACTGCTATTATCACGTGGTTTCTGAAATATACACACCTGTACCGGAAGCTGTTTGTCTGATGCCCGGATGATGCATGAAGTTTGGTGAATAATATTCGAACAATGTTGATGAAAATAATAAACTGTACCTGAAAATAAAAAAAAATGTCTGCATATTTTCAAGACAGAAAAGTTATATATTTCATCATAAATTTTACAATGTGCATTTACTAGTTATCATTTATATCGGGTCAAAAGATTGAGTATGCATTATTAATGATATAGGATAATTATACATGCAGATCTGTACTAATGTTTCCCTTTAATTCTACGTTTATATTTCTTTTTATTAAATATAAGCAACAATATTTCTTAATAAGTTTGACATTCAAAATTAATGATTTTTTCATAAATACTCTGAAATGTCAAGTTCCGTTATCTATAGATGATAAAAACTGTAACATGTGTTTTGGGACACCCTGTATATGTTTGAAATTTTACCAGAACTGTGGCCGTAATTGGTCCGTATATAATTAACGTAATCAGCTGGTTCCTCTGAATGTTCCAACAGCTAGAAATAAAAAAAAATAAAAACTTAATAATAACCAGATATATTTCTTATTGTTATACGTAAATAACGAGGCCTTTTCCAAATTTATTACATTAAGTGCATGGTAATCCGTTTAACCATTATAATACAAACTCGCAAAGCAATAATAAGTCCCAAACAACTTCAATAACGCATACTAGTAATTAATAAAGGTTCATGATTTAAAAATATTTTAATGTTTGGGAACATAGACATAATTAAATATATTCAATCTAATGTCTGAATGATGTATACTCACAGTTCATTGAATTCAAAAATCCGAACAAGGACCCATGGTAAAACAAAACTTAATGGAAATACTGAAAATGGACACAAGATTTATTCAAATAATAATCAATATGCTATGTAAAATTACATGTGATTTGATTTTTTTTATTATAAGTGAATCTAATCGATAAAAGCAAAACTTAACGAAAACACTGTAAATGGACACAAAAGGAATTAAATAAAAATAAATTTATTGTAACATAACATTTTATAATCATGAATTGGTTATATAACTTAAAATAACTGAGAAAGCATTTGCAATAATTAGATTTACTGAATCTAACTTAGAACATCAAGATTTATACAATAATTGAATCTAATTGAGGTAAACCATATTTAAATAACTGAGTAGTATTGCTAAAAATTCAACGTGATAATTATTTTATTTTACTGAGTATTACATTCGATCATGATTGAATTTTAACTTTGCATTGGATAACATTTGATCATGACTGAATCTAATCATGTAATAAGATATGATCATGACCGAATTTAACCATGTAATATCATTTGATCATGACTGATTTTTATCATGTAATAACATTTGATCATGGCTGAATCTAACTTACAACATTTGAGCACGACTGATTTGGGGAATACCATTTAAGCAAGACTGAATCTAAGAATAACATTTTCAAGATCATGACTGAATCTAACTTACAACATTTGAGCATGACTGATTTGGGGAATACCATTTAAGCAAGACTGAATCTAAGAATATCATTTGAGCATGACTGAATCTGAGAATAAGATTTAAATATGACTGAAACTAACTGAATCTAATTAAGGAAAACAATATTTTAATAACTGAATATTAGTAAAATTATTGCGCGTGATATTTTATAAATTTAACTGAGATAAGCATTTGATATTGGATGAATCTAACCTAGAATAACATTTGACCATGACGGAATCTAATAATTATATTTGATCATGACTGGATCTGAGAAAACGATTTGATCATTACTGAATTAACTAAAAATAATATTTGAATACTATTGAATCTTAGCAAAAAACTTTTTCCCCAATAAACATAATTATCTAAGAAATAATAACATAAGATCTATTACATAACTTCTATGGAACTAAAAAAAAGTCAATACTTACACCACCCTAGTAACATGAACCACTTTGTTCTGTTTTTCTCCGTGAATACAGAGACAGATATCAATATCTGGAGGTAAAGGGCCTCCACAAAAATCCACATGTAGCTAGCCGCCAATGTATAGTTATACAGAGTGAAAAATAACCGACACTCCCAATGCTGGAATGAGAAAAGAGTAAATTGTGTAATTTTAAAATAATGTAAAAAGAATATGATTGTGATAAAAGTGTAAATTTAGTGATTAAATAGTGTAAAAAGAAAGTAATAAAAGTGTAAACTTAGTTGTAAAATAGCGGAAGAGAAGAAAATATCTGATTTTTAATTAGATGGAGATAGATTATCACAAATCCCTTTTATTTTTTTAGCCGATAAAAATAATACTTACAGTGACGTCATCTCTAAATTTAATTTGGCCATGGTCATAGTACACGTCACCGGGAAATCCTACAAACTCTACCAGTAGATTTTCCTTGATGAAGGAGACAATGGCACGCAGAATAAAAGACACAAACAGGTTGATATGGATGGCGTTACGAGCACAGTGGAGCTTCCTACAACACAAAATAAATGTACAGGCGTGATAGCTCTGTATAGAATCCGGACAGGGCCATGCAGTTCACTATCACACCATCCAGCATCGACTTTAAGGTCGATGTTGCAAAGGACGATGAAGCGATGGTGCAATAATGATAAAGCGAAGATGCATTATCGCGATGACGATGATCCGACTGTGCGATAATACAATGCCGATGGTACGATGGAGCGAAAGTGAATATCACTTCATTGTTCTATTGCATCGTTCTATTGCTTTCATCGTCATCGCGTTGAACATTGCGCCATGGCATGATTGTCATCGCACCATCGCTTCATCGTTATTACATTATCGCGTCATCGTCCTGCATGTCGACCCAAACCTCGATGGTGCGAAGATGCGATATTGAACTGCGTGGCCCTATCTGGATTCCATTCTGCAGGGATGACGATTGTGTGGTCCCGGTTTCGGGCACCATTTTTATTGATGTAACAAAAAAGCTCGTAATTCTTTACAAAGAGTTTGAAGATTAACCTTATGTTCCTACAATTTTGCGTCTGCGCAAAAATATCGATAATCGTAACATCTTTCTGGAAATAAACATGTAGCTTTTTAATAGAATTAAAAACTAGATACTTTTAATTGTTAGAATAAGAATAAAGGAAAATTGATATTCTCTTCATGTAGATTTAAGTTGACATATCCATGCAAAGAAATTCCAGGGTCAACTTCACTCTGCCTAATACAGAAATAGGTGTACAGAAAACTACTCACTTGAAGTAAATCATGATGACCACAGCTATCACTAGGGACGCCAGGGAGAGGCCGTACCCGATGTTATACATCAGACGGACCGAGTCCGCATATTGCTGAAAATTAAAACAAATAACAATCAATTATTTAAAATAAATTTTTATTAACACGCGCAAAAGCTCAACGGTAAGGGATAACTTATACACAAAAAATAAGAAGACCGATAAAAAAAACTTTTTTTTTTGGGGGGGGGGGGGAAGGGGGGTGGGTGAGAACATATATAAAGAATCTCTTGCATGTACATAATAAAAATGATGGACAAAAGAGCAGTTTATTAATCACTGACTTTACCACGTTACCAAAAGGAGTGTTTAATTTAATAACTTTTTTCCTTCTTGTCAGGCTTTCATGTATATTAATAGCCATTCTCTGTAACCACTTAAACTTTTGTGGCACGCATAGTCACAGATTTTTTTCAAATTTGGCTTGAAAGTACCACCTTATAAACTACTTCAAAAAATATTGTTAGATCATATGAATGTTAGGTAGTTACCATGGAAACGGTGTCTAAAGTTGATTTTTCCTTTAAAAATGCAATATTTGGGAATGTTTTTTAATGAAATGCGGCTGCTTCAATCTATGTTCCAAACAGAAATAAAAAAATTAACATCTACTTTAATTACATGTGCAAATACTTGATTGGTATTCTGTCTATAAATATGAGAAATTTCTATTTAAAAACTGGCTTCATCCAGAAAAATGAATTACCTCCCTTTGATTATTTTGAACTCTTTAGTGTGGGAGGTACGAAAACAAAGAATGGGAAAATGGCAGAAAGTTGTCTGCTAACAAAATATTTCCCGGGATTTCAAACAAAATCACCCTGTAGTTTAAACTTTATTGGTTTGAATTCAATCCCAAGGGAAAGGTTAGCTATTTACATTTCTAATTTAGGATATATATTAAGTGACTTTGAAAAAAATTGCCATGACATTGATAATGCTGTGATATGTAATAACCATTTCCAAGAACTCAGAAACCTTAATTATAATAAACTTCGCACTGTAAAATGCATGGTTCCTCCAAACTTGGCAACCCATACTTTTCCAAAAAAGCATGAGAGAAGACTCACCGAAGATAATGTTCAGCAAATTCATGCATCAACAGGCAATGTCCTTCCTATTGGTGCAGGTAAGTGCAATAATTGAGCTACACACTGTAATCTCAAAGCCCTATAGCTAGGCTAGCTTTGACTTTTTTTAAAGTGTACTACTGTGCATTTCAGACTTACATATAATTTATTGCCGGACGATTTGTGTGACTGTCAGACAGTGTCCTAGTATTTAAGAGTTTGAGATAACAAATTCAAACTATCCAGTACCTTGACATTTTCAAGGTTGAATTGTGCTATAAGAAATGATTCAAAGCCACTGTGCACTTTTTCTCTGAACTGTTACAAGTTGTCTTGAGCAGAATATTTTATAAATCTATTATTTCTTTAATGTGTCATAAAGATTTATAGAAAATTAGTTAAAAAAAATTAATAGCAATACATAAACTAGTGCTAATTGTAACGGGGACCGTTACAGATGTTCCCCAAACGCTCCCCAACTTCCTTTTGGTGCCACATTCCCTGTAAGCTTCATTAAATAAGACAAACTCTATGCATTTGAGGCTTTAACAACATTTACCAGGAGAAAGTACCAAGTACATTCAAATTTTAGAATTCCACGTGTGTGCATGTGAATGCATGTGCATAATGACTATATCATCTTGTCTATACAATCTATATAGTTTAATATACTAATGTTGAAGTAATTAATCCAAAAGTATTAAAAACTGTATTTTTGATCTAATTCATTTCACGTGGAAGCACGTGCATACATGAGCATGATGACCATACCTCTTTGTAGAAGCCCATTACATCTTTCTATGTTCTAAATCCCACCCCGTTTGGTTGAAAACCAAGGGAGTTATAGCTGTTTAAAGTTTCAGCCAATCAGATTGCAGTGCATGCATGCACGTGTATGCATGTGCATGATGACCATACCATCTTGTAGAAGTGTAGGATATCCTAATACATCCTATGTTTAAAATTTCAAAGGATTTCGTCAAAAAACAAGAAAGATATTGAGACTTTAGTTTCAGCCAATCAGAGCAAAGCGCACGTGCATGCGCGTGAGATCTTGCTTTTTTGACCATGTCTTCTTGTCTGTGCTTCTAATATATACTTATAATATGAGTTTCAAAGCATTTCATCAATAATTTAAATAGTTACGTCTGTATCAATTATGTTGGACATTTTTCATGTTGCACGTGCAAGCTCTTGCAAGCACACGTGCATGCACATGCTTTCATGATAATTCTAATATAACAGGCTGTAGATCTCCCTAGTGTATGACTATGTTCAAAATTTCAAATGATTTTATCAAAAAACAAGAAAGATATAGAGACTTAAGTTTCAGCCAATCAGAGCAAAGCGCACGTGCATGCGCGTGCGATGTTGCTATTTTGACCATGTCATCTTGTGCATACTACTAATATATCCTTACATTATCAGTTTCAAAACATTTTGTTAAAAAATAGAAAAGTTACGGTTTTATCCATTATACCCGGTATATTGGTCATTTCAACTTTTGCACGTGCGCGCTCTTGCAAGCACGTGCGCGCAAAATGACCTTGATTCCGCAAATCTACATAACATGTCTACTGACCCTAAAAACATTTCACCTAAATCGGATGTGTAGTTTACGAGATCATTCGCGGACAAAATTTTCCCGAGAAGAAAAATAATAATAACTAGAGCCGAGCTCGTTGCAAAGCAACGAGTAGGTCTTCCGTCCGGTTTTGGCCGGATGTGCCAGAAGTGACGTGAACAAAAGAAAGCAATGAGCTAAGTGGTCTCCAGTGACTTTATAATTTCAATTTTGCATTAAAACCTTCAAAATAAGCTATTTTTGCTACTTCCGGTTTGACCGGAAGTGACGTCGACGGACGGAAAATTTAAGATTTAAGCTTCCAGTGACATATGTTATCCAAAAACCTGTCAAGAACAGCAAAAATATGCAATTTTTGCCTACTTCCGGTTTGACCGGAAGTGACGTGGCCGGACGTATTTTGACGACTCCATTAGATAACGCTTGACATTTTGAGTAACTTTGCTTCTTTGACGTATTACAAATTCTCAATACTTTTCGAGATATAAAGGAAAAACTTTCGGCCCCTTTTGGCCCTTTATTATAGGGGCCAGCTCCTTATCGTTGATATTTTTCAAAAGATCGTGACATTCTCTACAACTTTTGTTCTATATGTCTTTACAAATTGTTAACATGTAAAAAGATATTGCAGAAAAGGTGTCAAAAATTTCTAAATCCTTGACTTGACTTTTTTCGGGCCATAGCGAGCGCCGACGTGCGGCACTTCCGGAGAAAAAGAGTGGTGTGTGACAAAAGAGCATACGTTGCTCTATCATCGCTGAAAATCTCATGTTTCTGTCTTAAGGCATTTTCGAGAAAAATGATGGACAATGAAGCCCCTCGAAAATCACTAAATCGCGGAAATCTCAAAACCGGAAGTGACGTCATCAAAACAAAAAATTACATATCAGGTTTGTTTGATGTTCTATCAGTCCTGAAAGTTTCATGAAAATCGAACGAGCCGTTTCCGAGAAATCGTGTACACAAAATCGGTAAGAAAAAAAAACAATAATAATAATAATAATAATAACTAGAGCCGAGCTCGTTGCAAAGCAACGAGTAGGTCTTCCGTCCTGTTTGACCGGAAGTGCACCTGTAGCTTTCATTTAAAAAAAAAAGAGTAATGAAGTTCAAAAATGGTTTAATCTTCCAAATCTTTATGAATTAATGCAATATTAAGCCATTTTTGGCTACTTCCGGTTTGACCGGAAGTGACGTCGACGGACTGAAAATTAAGATTTAAGCTTCCAGTGATATATGTTACCAAAAACCTGTCAAGAACGGCAAAAATATGCAATTTTGGACTACTTCCGGTTTGACCGGAAGTGACGTCGCCGGACGTATTTCGACGACGCCATTCGATAAAGCTTGATATTTAGAACAACTTTGCTTCTTTGACGTGTTACAAATTCTCAATACTTTTTGAGATATAAAGGAAAAACTTTCGGCCCCTTTTGGCCCTTTATTGTAGGGTCCAGCCCCTTTTCGTTGATATCTTTCGAAAGATCGTGACATTCTTCACAACTTTTGTTCTATATGTCTTAACAAAATAATAACGTGTAAAAAGATATTGCAGAAAATGAGTTAAAAAATTCTAAATTCCCAATAGGTCTTTTTTCGAGCCATAGCGAGCGCCGACGTGCGGCACTTCCGGAGAAAAAGAGTGGTGTGTGACAAAAGAGCACACATTGCTCTATCATCGCTGAAAATCTCATGTTTCTGTCTAAAGGCATTTTAGAGAAAAATGATGGACAATGAGACCCCCTGAAAATCACTAAATCGCGGAAATCTCAAAACCGGAAGTGACGTCATCAAAACAAAAAATTATATATCAAGTTTGTTTGATGTTCTATCAGTCCTGAAAGTTTCATCAAAATCGAACAAGCCGTTTTCGAGAAATCGTGCACACAAAATCGGTAAGAAAAAAAAACAATAATAATAATAATAATAAAAATAGTGGAAAAGAAACCTAAGAATAACAAGAAGGTCTTCCGCTGAAGACGGAAGACCTTAAAAATAGTGGAAAAGAAACCTAAGAATAACAAGAAGGTCTTCCGCTGAAGACGGAAGACCTTAACTAGATGCGTTCTTGTTGCTGGTGCAACAAGCAGGTCTTCCGACCGATTTTGTTAAAATTCTATACTGCGTCATCCCATGAAATAGATTTCAGAATGTGTTTTTTTTTCGTTTACGTTCATTTACAGCAGCCTCTCAACATACCTCATGATTATTACAAGTATTACTCAAAATATCTCAAAAATAGCTTTTAAAAATCGGCAAAGTCTTCCATACGTGTTATAAAAGAAATAAAAGTCATTTGCAACTGAAAAAAGACATAAACAAAGAAAAAATATTTGAAACGGCCCCAGCGGGATTCGAACCCCCGACAGTAGGACAAAGTTTGGTTCGTTCATCTTTTCAATAGATGCACGCATCAAGATACTGAAAACATATTTAGAATTCTCATAAGACACTCTATAAACCCTGTAAATCCTAAAGAAAAATATTGAAAAACAAAAAAGTTGAGAAATGTGACTTTTTGAATTCACTTCCGTTTGCGACCGGAAGTGCTGACGACGAAAAATAAAGGTTGTTGCCCATAACGGAGTTCGATGTTCTATCACCTCAATGAGTTTCACTTTCATATCTTCAGCCGTTTTCAAGAAAACTCCTGGACAAAATGCCTTTTAAAAAAAAACGAAAATCCCCAAAAATCGCGAACGGAAGTAAATTTTGAAAAAATGAAAAACACATCTGGAGATATTCTCATGATGCATCTTCCCTGAGAAAATCTTTGAAATCTGTCCACTCATAGCTGAGATATCGGCTGTACTATGAAAATAGAATAATAATAATAAGTAGATGCGTTCTTGTTGCTAGAGCAACAAGCGGTCTTCCGACCGACTTTTCGTAAAAGTTCTATGCAGCGTTATCCCAAGAAATAGATTTCAGAACGTATTTTTTAGGCTACGTTTATTCACAGCAGTCTCTCAACATACATCATGATAATTACAGGTATTCCTCAAAATGGTTCAATAAATAGATATTAAAAATCGGAAAAATATTCCATACGTGATATAAAAGAAATAAAAGTCATTTGCAACTGAAAAAAGACATAAACAAAGAAAAAAAATTTGAAACGCCTCCAGCGGGATTCGAACCCCCGACAGTGAGACAAAGTTTGGTTTGGTCATATCTTTTCAATATATGCACGCATCAAGATACTGAACACATGTTTGGATTTGTCATAAGACATACTATAAACCGTATAAATCCTAAAGAAAAATATTGAAAAACAAAAAAGTTGTAAATTAGGACGTTTTGAATTCACTTCCGTGTGCGACCGGAAGTGCCGACGACGAAAAATAAAGGTCGTTCACCATAACGGAGGTCGATGTTCTATCACCTCAGTGAGTTTCACTTTCATATCTTTAGCTGTTCTCGAGAAAACTGCTGGACAAAATGCCTTTTAAAAAATACAAAAATCCCCCAAAATCGCGAAAGACAGTGAATTTTAAAAAAATAAAAAACACGTCTGGAGATATTCACATGATGCATTATCCCTGTGAAAATCTTTGAAATACGTTCACGCACAGCTGAGATATCGGCTGTACTATGAAGAAAGAATAATAATAATAATAATAGAAAACAGAAGGAAAACAATAAGGTCTTCCGAAGGAAGTCGGAAGACCTTAATAATAATAATAATAAGAAACAGAGTAAAAACAATATGTTCCCCAACTTCGTTTGGGGAACATAATTATATGAAGTATACCTCATTTATATCAAAGATCATTTAGGGCTAAAATATACAGTACTACAGGTGCTATGGATTAAATATAAGGAAAACTTTATATTTTATTAACAATTGTTTATTAAAGAAAATATTTTTTTATGTTACAGATGTATTGTGATTTTTTAATTAATAGCAAGTCTTAGATTTGGACTTTTTTTCATAGCTATACTCTAGTGGTTACAGAGTGAACAGGTGGAAATTCTAGTAATAAGCCTCTTGCAGGGTGAACTTGAAAAGTTATGAATTTTCCATTGATTAAACTATAATTTCAGGGAATACTGTTTACATAAAACCATGCTTACACTTGTATCATAAAATTGTTTCTCAGCTATATGGTATCAAATCCTTGTTTTCAGGAATATGTAATAGCTGCAGAGTACACTTAATTGTGAACAAAAGGCCGAGCCTTCAGATTCAGGACAGTAAGAAGGTGAGGAATTTTCAATATAAATATACATACTACAAGGAAGTAAGCCTTCACTCTTTAAATAAAGGAATGGTTTCATATGTGACTGTGATGGAGACCTCATTAATTAATTGGTTTCAAGACCCGACTTCTCAATAAATTAATTTACATTTATTTTTTTTTTCTTAAATCTTAAGAAAATGTATATAATAGGTGTTAATTTCAATTCCAGTTGAGACTTAATACAGGATGTACAATGAAGTAGATTTCTTCATAATATATACATGTAGACCTGTCAAATTATAAAGGATAAGATATTAAATTCTACTTGTTAAATGATTAGATTTTATTGTCAGAACTAAAATTCATCATAATTATGATGAAAACTCTTGTTTGAACAGGTACTTTGTAAAACTGAGTCTAATGAGAATGGTGTTCAACTTCAAGTTGACATGAATGATGACTACATGTGTAAGCCTATGGAAAGAGCTCGGAAATCAAGAAAGGTACAGATTTATAAAAGAGAAATGATGATAAAAAGAATCCGAAATTGTATTTAATTTTTAGTTTTCTTTTTTTAAGGGGACTGACTGGGGTTTCATAATGTACAATACTTCATGCATCATAGAAATTGACATACATGGTATATAATGTTTAAAAAGCAACTTTCTTCACATAATTAATAAAAATTTACAAAATTAAGAAAATACAGTTTAAAAAATATAATTTATATTTTATATAACTGATTATTGAAAGGACTTTTCATCTGATAGATTGACATTGTAATATTATGGTAAACTCGGCCTTTTTTAAGAGCTTCAGTTTAGTAAACTGAAGCTCTTAAAAAAGGGTAAAACATCATTAAAGTAAATATATTAAATATATGTATGCTATTGAAATTTAGAATATAAAAATTTGAGAATATCTTGATCATTTTTGAAATGTTTTGCATATGTAGTGTTGTCAAAACTTTTTTAGCTCACCTGAGCCGAAGGCTCAAGTGATCTGATCACGTTTTGTCCATCGTCCGTCCGTCTAGCTGTCCGTCTGTAAACTTTTCACATTTTCGACTTCTTCTCAAGCACCACTTGGCCAATTTTGACCAAATGTGGTACAAAGTATTATCAAGAAAAGACAAAAATAGGGTGGGATCATAAAAATATCTTCTCGTCAAGAACCACTGGGCCAGAAAAGCTGAAACTTACAAGGAGGCATCCTGGGGTAGTGTAGATTCTAAATTGTTCAAATTATGACCCCCGGGGTTAGGGCAGGGCCTCTATGGGGAATCAAAGTTTTACATAGAAATATACAGGGAAAACTTTAAATATCTTCTTAGCAAGAACAACTGGGCCAGAAGAGCTGAAACCTATGTTTAAGCATTCTGGGGTATTGTAGATTCTAAATTGTTTAAATCATGACCCCCAGGGGTAGGGCGGAGTCGCTATGGGGAATCAAAGCTTAACATAGAAATATATAGGAAAAATCTTTGAAAATCTTCTTCTCAAGAACAACTGGGCCCGAAAACCTGAAACCTATATGGAAGTGTAGATTCTAAAAAGTTCAAATCATGACCCCTGGGGTAGGGCGGGGCCAACATGGGGAATCAAAGTTTTACAATGGGGAATCAAAGAATCCTGTGGTAGTGTACATTTCAAATTATTCAAATTATATCAGTGGGGTCACAATATGTATTACAAAGGGGAAATCTGGTAAAGAACAGAATGGTCGAAGCATCTCAGGTGAGGGATGTGGCCCATTGGCCTCTTGTTTTTTTCCTTAATTTTTCGGCATTTTGAGATATTTTAAGACACTGAAGTCACTATAAGTTACTTAATATTAAATTAAAGAGTTGTAGTTTTAGCTCATCTGAGCTGAAAGCTCAAGTGTCAGCTTCCTGATCATGACCCACATGGGCGGGATGGGGCCACTATAAAGAATCCAATATTTACATTGAATTCCATATAAGAAAAACTTTTTAAAAATCTTCGTCTTAAGAACCAATGGGTCATAAAAACTGACACTTGTTTAGAAGCATTCTGAAGTTATGCATATTCTAAATTGTGGGGCCACAGTAGATATAAGAAGAGGGGAAATCTGGTATAGAACTGTATCCCAAAGTATCTCAGGTGAGCCATGTGGCCCATGGGCCTTTTGTTTAGACAAACCCGGTTGACTTCCTTTGACACAAAAGATTATATTGAAATGAAAGCCTATCAAGAAACCACAATGATGACAGTTGAGCCTGAGTGGCATTTTATGAACATTTCTAGGAGAAAATAATTTAAATGAAGAATTACATTTTATAACAGATGCCCATCACAAAAGATGAAAGTGATATGATGAATGATGACCATACACCTCTGAAAAGATCAAGGCGATCAGTGACAAAGGTATAAGTTTAATTAAAAATATATTTATATGTATTGGTATGTAATAGTTTGGGCCATGGATATTGGCCTGGATAGTTCAGTTGGTAGAGCACCTGACTGGAGATGCAGGAGTCCTGGGTTCAATTCCAGGTCCAGCCAAACATTTTCTCCTTTCTTGTTACCTCTTCTTCAAAAAGGAGCAGTGCATGGCTGTGATTTATTGAAATATTCTTGGAGTTGTGCAGAAAGCTCAAACAAGGTGATTCAACAATGACTGGTATCAGTCATGTGTTGTGCACTTGCACACCTTCATGCAAAGGCCCTGAAAGGGGGATAATAGGGAAACTGTGAAAAAAAGGATTTCAACATTTATATTTTAATTCGGCCAATACAACTTTATTAGAATTTTAAAAAATCATTCAAATATGTCATTTTCTAAAAATTGACTTTAGGGTATTAGATCAATACTTTCATCTTCAATTCTTGTATGGCTTTTATTAAAATATTTTTTTTTTCAAATCCATTAGCCAAATATTGGTAACTCGCATAAATGTTTCCTTACATTATTAAATGTGCAGATTAGGGTCACTTGGAGTTATGGTTGGGCCTGAATAAGAAATAAAAAGTTTATCAAATATGAGAGACATATAGGAAAATTAAAATCTTGAGAAATCTTCTTTTGGCTTCAACTACTGAATAAAATATTTGACACAGTGACCTTGTCTTTCAAATTTAAACCTATTTAAAAAATGATCAATGTTAATTATTTTTAGGGGAAAAAGATAAGGCATTCATAACTAAGCTGTGACAAACATGATATGATTTTTAAACCATGAATTGCTTTAAAGTTTAATCTAATTTACAAAAAATGTTGATATTAGTGATTAACCTTTGAATAAGAAGAGCTATTGATTTTAAATTTGAAGTGTTTATTACAATATGCCATATATGTCATTTACTGTAACAGTATTACATTAAGGCCAAGCTTAAAAAATTCTTTGTTTGCAGTTGCCGACCTATAATTTTTAGTCTGGGTAGGTAGGTAGGGATTCTTTTTTAAAATTGTTCCAGATTTTTGTTAAATAACATAAAATAGAGTTTTTCATAGGCCTACTATACATGAATAAGCTGCACTCTTTGTATAAACTAATGATTGATGCAGACAAAAACTGAAAAAGTTTTTAATATCCTAAAAAATTTGAGAAAAAAAGTAATATTACAAAATGGTTACAAAAAATTTGGGTCGGGTGCATTTTCAGTGGGTCGGTTGGCAACTGCAAACAAACAATATTTTATTTTAGGCCTTAGCGATGTATTCTATTAGGTAGTTAAATTAGGTAAAAAGCTGAGTGAGCAAATTCAAGTACCGTACATTGCTAAATGTCACTTACATATGTAAATCATACATTTATATTTCGTATATTTAGAAAAGGCTAAATCAAGTTTATGCTTACTTATGGAAACCTAAATTTCCACCAAATATTGTGGTCACAGCAAATATAATACATTTACAGTATAACTCATTCCCAACACTATTAGTCACCTAAAACTGTACAAGTTATGGAGCTTCCTGAGCTATAAGGAGACTTCTAATGTTATATTTATTTTAGTAATTTGTCTTGCAGGTATCTTCTTGCACTGTACAATCCTCAGATGGATGTGGAGAATTTGATTCTGAAGATCTCAGTCAGGAGACAGTTGTCTCTGAGGCTTCAGTATCTAATTCATCAAAACTTGAGGCTCTGAATCACTACCTGGCCCTCAGTAATGTTAGCCCGATAAAGGAATGTCAGGTTTACCTACAACATTCAAGCAATAGAACTAAACAGAGGTACATCAATAAGGCTAAGCAGTGTCTTGACCTTATCCTGACCACAATTTGTCCTGGGGAAGAGGAATTCTTGAGAAGATCTGTTTTGAATGATATTCAGCTAGATTCTGTAGAGGAGGAAAACGCCATTCTTGAGACACTTGTCGAAATTTATAATGGTGCCAATTCTTGGGCATTCCAACGACAAATTCTCTCAACAATTGTAAAAGACAAGGACTTTTCAGCTGTCAAAGAGGTATGCAATCAGAAAATAAATGCATTTAATTGTAGGCAGTATGGTAGAAACACATTTAAATGATTTGATAATAAAATTTGTAATGGCTTTTTCATAACAACTTGTACATGTAGTATGTTTAAGAAATAAAGACTGTGTTATTCTGCATCATTCATGACAACAAGGACTTTATTTCTATTCTACAAAGACCTATAAAATACGGCTGATTGTGTCCTCTATAGAGAAACAAATTAGGTCACCATGTCTCGATTACGCTGTTCTATTTAACACCAGAGAGAAATTTTGTTGACTTATCTATATAAGGAATGCAGACGATTTCAGCTATTGTTGCATTAAAAATAGTCTTTCTACAGCCAAACTTGCATTTGAATTGTTCAGATTTGATACGTGTTTCTGATCTGATAATTTTTTTATGACGTTCGTGATTTATTGGAGAATAATGTCCGGCGGCTTCTTTTGAATTTTTCAATAACCGTAGAATACACTGTAATTGCTGTTATTATCTTATTTATATAGTCCAAAAAAAAAGTTATAAAAAATATATATATATTGCTTCTTTTTCAGCTTCTGCCTACTGTGACAAGATATAAATTCAATCAAGCAAAAGAACATATTCAAGAGCATGGTGTAGGAGAACCAATCTCAAAAAGGAAAGTTCCTAGGGAAAAGTATACCCATAGCCAGTTAGACCACTTCATTGACTTTATCACATCTGGAGACATAATTAAAGACCAGCCTTTTGGAGAAAAAACGTTGAAAATGGAAACAGGAGAGGTTCTTAAGATTCCAACTGTTATTAGATGTTTGGCACCTTCCACAATTATCTCTCGATACACGGATGTGTGCAAGGAGGATAACATAAAGCCTCTTGGTATATCAATTTAAATAGTTAAAAATGTATTGCTACTGAGTGCTATAAAATTTAGGAATTGAAACCAATATTATATACTGGTATTGACTGTCAATATCTGACACATGTTATTACATAATATAAACTTAACTACCAGATATTGGATTAAAAAAAATTATTATAATTTTTATCTTTTTTTATTTTTGCAATAATTTTTGAATATAAGAACGAAAAGAAATTTCAAATGACATTATGTTTTAATTATACTTGTAGGAAATAGCACTCTTTTCAAGATTTTGGAAGAATGCTCAGCTGTGTTCAGGAAAAGCATTGAGGGATTAGACAATTTTTTAATGGAGGGGATTAAAGCCTTTGAGGAGCTGGACAAGATAGTGAAAAGACTTGAGCTGTCAACAGAAGATGAGAAACCTCTTACAGCTGGATTGCAAAGTGCTAAAAATTATTTGAAATCAGGATTTAAGGTATGTTAGCTTTACTGGTCAGAGACTAGAAGAGTCCCTATGCAATATAGTAAAGTGTCTGAAAGTCCAACATGGAAACAATGTACACTATAATTCTATGCAAAGATTTAGATGCCATATGAATACTATTAACATACAATGTATTAATGGACATTAAATACATATGAGTTAAATAGTATAAATGTATTTCTATAATTCATTATTCCATTTTTACAAATATAAGTTCAAATAAATGTTATTTCAGGGTCATATTACCAAGGAAAATATGGTAGAAGACCATTGCATATCCTATGCCCTTAGTTCTTCCGAGCCTTTCTTCGCAGCTGAATGTGAGCATCAGCATGGGGACACATGTACTGACTGCCAAAACCTAGATATAGTTCTCAGTTCAATTCAGCAGAAGGCTGAGGAGCATCAGTGGCAGAACCAGGAGGCAGCAATGTATACGGTTAGATTTTTTTTTTACAAATGATCTAGGAAAATGTGGCTTAATTTGTGTTGTAAACTGCTCTAAGTACATGTACTCACTTAAAGGAACAAAACATCCCTCTTAGCTCAGCTTAATTGTTAGTAAAGCATTGAATGGAATCATGCACAAGCCATTATATGGTATAAATAAAATTTATGTATAGATTAATACATTTTGTTAAGCAATTATTTAAGGCAAGCAATGGATCATTTTCAGTAAAGAAAACATAATTATTTTCAAAGAATCTTTTGATGATGCAAAGCTGGTCTGGAATCATCCAAGTCAATTCTTCTGTCTTCAGAATTGTTTTAAGCAATGTTGAACTGAAGAAATAAGAGGAGTGGGTGGTTTTGATGGATGTTTTACATTGCTTGGACCCATAGTTATGCATTATTGTACATTACTTTTTATTACTTAAATCTCTATGAGGATATAGTGATCTGTCACAGTTCAAGTGACACTGAAGAAAGAAAAATTGAACTTTTTTATCTTAATATTCTCCTTGTTCGTCTAGGTAGAAGAAGCTGTTGAAGCCATAAAGAAATGGAAGTGCCATATCCTAAGATGTAGAAACCAAGAGAGGGCTAGGTCAGATATTGTGCAACAGATGTCTGAAGATGATGCTATTATTACGTGTGACTGGGCCATGAAGTTTCTTCCCAAGAAATATAGAGAGGGTATGTCTATAATGTTGACATTTAGTACAATTAATATATCAAGCAATAAATTGAAAATAAATAAAATGCAAGATTAATTCTTGCTATTGAATCTGTATAATTTTTAGATAATTATTTATTCTTATAACTATGATATTGTATCTAAAACATCAATTCTAGCAATGTAACCTGATCCAGTATATGGAGAATGATACAAAATCATTTGATCTTCTAAAAGTACAAAGTACTCATTGCAGTATGATGTAATTTGTACAGTTGACACTCAACATTAAGCATATGTTTTGGTGTGTTTTAAGGATTTACTGCAACTCTTTATTGTTTTTACCACTTTAAAAGTAAAAATAAAAAAAATTATGTACAAATATATTTATAGGTCAAGTGGACTGGTTTGCCAAAAGGGGGATGAACTGGCATATTGCTGTGACACTATTAAAGGATGGACAAAATTTTTCTACGTTAACACATGTCCACATTTTTGATTGCCCTATATCTCAGGATGCACCTATCACGTCACAGATTTTAACAGATGTTGCGAGAGACATTTTGAAGGAGAAACCAGCAGTGAAAAACATTAACTTTTTCACAGACAATGCTGGATGCTACAAGTCATCCACCACAATCCTGACGTTACAAAAAGAACTCAAGAATACTGTGTCCTCTTTTAATTTTTGTGAGGCACAGAATGGGAAAGGTAAATTACTAGAAAATCTGTATTTAAATTGATTTATGAAGCTTGACTTTTTTGGGGCTTTTGAATCATTCTGAATGTATTGCAAGTGTAAGTTATCTACATACATTAAATTAAATATGATACTATCATGTTAAGAAAAGGAAATAACTATATGTCTATGCTGGGTTTTGATTTTTCCATACAAATTAGTACCTATGCAATAAAATTAATGAACCAAAAATACGATAAAATGTTTTGAATTCTTTATATTCATGAAATTGATTGCATTGCAGGTCCCTGCGATAGGCGTGCATCCCACATCAAGTCCATTATAAGACGATACATCAATGAAGGAAATGATGTAACATCAGCTTTCCATATGAAAAAGGTATGTACAATGAATACATGGTTTTGTCAACAGTGTATTTTTTTATACCCTCTTTCTGAAGAAGAAGGGGATATACTGTTTTACCCTTGTTTGTCTGTCTGTGTGTCCGTGTGTCTGTGTGTCCATGTCCGTCGGTAACAAATTTTTGTTGCAGTTTTCTCAGCAACTACTCATAGTAGATGCTTGAAATTTTAAGACATAATCATCTCTTTTAGGCATGCCATATATAGTGTATAATATCTGTATAATTTGCAATATCCATGTTCATACTAAACAAGTTTTGCTGTATCAGTTTCAATTTGATATCATACAATTATACACTAGCTAGAGTGTAAAAATTATATAATTTATTTCAAAATCTCCAAATTCTTATTTTGCACAACATGCCTCAAGATACATCAGATAGTATTTTTTGTTACAGGCAGTGGACAATGAACAGAAACCAGATTTGAAACTGAAAGTTGTTTCATCAGTGAATATTGTTGATGATGATCAGCATGAACTTGAACCGAGATACTCAATCCCAGGAATTTCTAAACTGTACAATTTCCTTTATTCACAAGATGGATCAAGGATGTGGAAAGCATATGCTATTGGTGAAGGTATTATGACACATAAACATAAGTGCTTTTCTGGAACTGAATTAATTAAGCTTTTATGATGTATAAAATAGTTGATCATGCATGGTTTTAAATAAAATCAATTTGCATCTGTTTAAAGGTAAACTGATGAAATGGAGATCACTAGGCTGCCCATCTCCAACAGTTGAACTGAAAACTTTAATAGACTGGGGACATGCTGAGTCAAGGGTTTTGATCACAGAAATAAAACAAGGTAGAATTAAACACATTACCAATTAATATATTCATGTAAATTGTTAGTAAAATTATTCTCATGGACAAGTTTGACATATACTTTGTAATCATCATTTTTAAGGACTAATATTCACTGTTATGGAACAATATATTAATTCACAGATTTTATTGGACATCCATAGCCATGAAAGTACATTCTCAGAAATATATTGGTTCAATTAATCATTAGTTTTCCAATGAAATAACAATAACCCAACAAACCACTAAAGTGTTGCCCCACCCCTCATGAAATTATAATGATTTCATAGCTAGTAGATATTTGTAAAGTAAAATTCAGGAATAATATTTATAACTTTTTCTCTCACCTGAGCAGAAGGCTCAAGTGAGCTTTTCTTATCACATTTTGTCCGGTGTCCGTCTAGCTGTCTGTCTGTAAATTTTTTGCATTTTCGACTTCTCAAGAACCGCTGGGCCAATTTCAACCACACTTGCAACAAAGCATCCTTAGGTAAAGGGGATTCAAGTTTGGTCAAATGAAGGGCCACGCCTTCATTCAAGGGGAGATAATTGGGAATTAATGAAAATTTGGTGGCATGTTTTAAAAATCTTCTTCTCAAGAACCACTGTACCAGGAAAGATGAAATTTAAGGGGAATGAAACATTCCCAGGTAGCGTAGATTCGAATTTGTTCAAATCATGACTCCTGTGGGTAGGGCGGGCCCACTATGGCTGACAAAGTATTACATAGAAATATATAGGAATATTCTTTAAAAATCTTCTTCTCAAGAACAACAAAGCCATAATTAATCATATTTATATGGCAGCACCCTCAGGTAGTGTAGATTTAAGTTTGTTACATTACATCTATTTTTTGTTTCCAGATGAAGAAGCTGAGTCTTTAGAGCACATAACAGGTTTTCATTGTCCTGTGGAAAACTGCACAAAACAGTTCTCAACACAAAGAGCAGTTGATGATCATGTATTAATGGGCACCTGCTCATTTGCTACAAAAGAGAGGCTATGTGTAACAGAAAAGGCAAAATATATTTACGCAGAGAAGATTATGAAAATGTATCCGACAAACAAAGAACCAGGGCTCCTTCCTGTTACCAGTGTTAAGGATATAAAAGTCAGGTTACCGTCATTACCGTCAGGTTGGGCATTAAAAGAAACAAAAGGCAGAGTTGTTTTCACCAATCAGCAGAAAGAATTCATGAAGGAGAAGTTTAACATAGGGAAAACTACTGGAAACAAAGTTGATCCTTTTTGTGCTGCCGAAGAAATGAGATTGTCCGGAAAGTTCAAAAGGGCAGACTTCCTCTCTGGCCAACAGATTTCATCCTATTTTTCAAGGCTCGTTCAGCTTGACAAAAAAACATCTAAAGAAGACTACTGGGCTGCAGTTTGTGAGGAAAATCAAGATTTACTGAAATGCAAAATACAACAAGTTTTGAAATAACAAGTGATCAATATACCTTTATTTGTCACTCTCTGTCATATGGGTACACCCACTTATTATTTTTAGAATCGATAGGAAAAGAAAGTATAGTGCAGAAAAAATTACAAGTTCCTTAATTTGCAGACTTGCATAAAAAATAAATTTATGTACTGACAGATGTACTGAACTGAGCCTCACTCATGTTGATAAGGAGTATCTTTCCTACCAAAAAAGCTTGACAAATGTAATTTATCAAGAAGATCAGTTGAATTATTTTGTGTATTATAACGCTAGTGAGATCTCTGAAATTCCCCTACATTCATTTTTAGAGGTTTCCACAGACAGACACATTTTGCTGAAAAATGAATCTGACATGCTACTTCGACATTTTAACCAAGGAAAGACAAGTTGATGTGCTTTGATTTGAGGGGTTACTCACTTCTGAACGAGAAATCATAGGGACATAGCTATGAGAAGTAATGTTAACATTGTAGCCTATAGGAAAACAATTAGTGGACTGTACCCATATGCATTCTTTGATATCATGCATTGTCTTGCATATATCAGTGTTAAGCACAAGAATTAGTGTTCATTGATTCAATTCCTTATCATGACTACACTTGTAAGTCCCTGCAATTATTTGTGTCCTTTTAAGTTGACATTTACTATATGTACATATAGAACTATTAGTTGTTCAAAAAAATCTGAATTTCATGTTTTCACTTTGATATCAAAATTTTATGCAAGTCTGTATTGCATAGGTGTCTAAGAGACTAGAGTAATAATTGATGGAGATGATGTTAAAATTACATTTTTAGGAGCACATTCATTTTGGAAGTAGCTATATTAGTCAATAAAGTGCCCCGCCACAGCATGATACGCCCGTCAAAAAATTACAATTTTCTTGAACAGTTTAGGTGCAAGAAAATCACATCAACCTTGATTCTAAGATTTGATGATTTTAATGTAATTTTTGTATTTTATACTTCATTCAATATATTCTTACTCATAATACATACTTGCAGAGAAAAAAAATGTACATTGTAAATTCCCTTAAAGTATTCTTAACAAATTATTTCATAGTTTTTATTTTCAAACAAACTATAACAGTGTCAGCTTTTTTTCGTGTAAAGTTAAGATTTGAGCTAAAAATTTATGAAAAGTATTAATTACAATTTTTCTCTCTTAAATTGATATTTTCACTATCAAAACCTTCTGTTTATGTATCATTTTACATCTTTTTGTGACAACTTCAGTGAATGTGAGAAAAAGAAAAAAATAAATATAGGAAACATATAAAAATAACTAATGTATCCTTAGAAATTTAAGAAAAGCAGAGGAAATTCGGATTACCCAATATCCATTTTATTTAAATAATTTATTTCAATTTGGTAATATTATCTTATAGGCCCTGTATGGTAGTTTCTTTTTATGCATAAATAAAAAAATTCAATGTTTTAAAATACAAGTAGGGATCCCATGATTGGCAACAGAATTGTTTTGTTCTTAATGTCCGGGGAAAAGGTTATGACCTTGACCTGATATTACTTCTTATATAAAACAGTTTTATTTAATCTGACTGATACCATCACTTAGTGATATTGTCTTCTTCATTCTATGAAAATTTCATTCATTTTTAAATACAGAAAATGTGAGAAGAATCCTTCAATATGTAATAGTATAAAAACACCTAATTTTCTAGATTTCAGTCTATTTCTACTTTTTTTTGTCCTTGACCTTTGACCTTTTCACCTGAATTTTTTTTAAACATTAGCTTCAGATATTGTGTACCAATTATCAAGATTTGGTCTCAATCCATTGTAAAATTTTTATATTATTAGAGGGAAACCGATAGGTAATGCCTTTTGTCATTTTTTGTGATACATGAAAATTCATTACTTTGTAACCATGGTAACATGAAAACAAGATATGAAAACCAAATGAGTCAATGCAGTTGATAGTAGAACAGACTATGTACTTTAACACCATGCTATTCATTTTTACCTGCATGTCCGCAAAATTTTTTACCAAGCTTATCAAAAGTGCATTAAAACAGTTATTTTTGCCTTTAAAAAACAACCCCAAAATCTGGTTATTTTTTACTATGATGAAAAATTATTCAAACGCTGCAAATAATCATATGTATAATAAATATGATATATTTTGATATAAAAATTGAGTTATTATATTTTCTAGATCATATACAGGTTTTCTAGGGGTCTCAAGATTGGAATTTTTCATGAAAAATGACTGTTTTTAGGGCTCTAAAAAATGTATGCTGGTTGCCATGGTAACCATTGCCCATAGCAACCATTTTATTATGAATTTTTGTTTCATGCATGAATATAACAATGTGTGCCAAGTTTCATAAAAATCCAAGACCATGCGTGCCACACTCCCTATATAAGAGTTTAAATGATTACAGAGAATGGCTATTAATAAAGGATTTCTTCTGAGATTCAGAAGTTAACTATTCAATTTACTCTACTCTTGAGGTGATGTTTACTCTAGATGAAAAGTATATCTCAAGCTATATATTTTAAGAAGCACAAGTTACTTGTCTTCTATGAAATAAACAAAATTTAGTCTTCTTTACGTCTGTCGCATAATTCCTATACTTACCTCGATCAGGGCCGGAACTGTACGAGGGTCCTCATTGGTTTTTGACCCGATGCATTGGGTAAAGTTGGTCCATGTATTGTTGTTGAGTGGATTAACAAACCAAGAACCATCCTCATTACATTGTCTTGAAGCATTATCTGTGGTTATATTAATAAAAATAATTTTTTAAAAATGAAATTTTAATGCCATATAAAATTTGCTCTAAAATCTTGCATTGCGAAGTATCCTAAAATTTTAAGCATTTTAATTAATATTAGTTATTATAATAGGTATTAAGGTATAACTATTTTAATTATTAGAATTAATTATATTTATTTTGGAACATATCCAGCATTTTTTTATACTAGGAGTACCGAGGAATGATGGGCACCAATCGAACACTTTCTGTATACGTATACGTTATTCACTGCTGCCAGTTTGATTCGAACTCAAGACGTAAGGATCAACTCCTTACTTCTCGACTTTAGAGCAAAAACTCTAACCACTGAGCCACGCGGTATACAAGTACATGACTTACTGCTGGTGTCGATGTTCTTAATGTGACTGGGGCAGGGCTGGATCGCTAGATGACCAGCGGGGGTGGGGGGCCAACACATCACTGTGTCCCAGGCTCGTCTACAATGGATCCCTGTCAAAAATAGTTACAACAATATACTTATTAATCTACAATTATGTACAGGCTAAAAGGTGAAAAAAAATATACACGTACATGTACATTTACTTAGCCAGTATATTAATTCTGTATATTCTGTAAAAGTAATGAGCCGCAATCTCATCCTCTTAGTTTCTACGTAACAGTATAAAAATTGTCATAACTTCGTTTTAATATTTAAAAAAAAAAAGTTTTTCAATATAAAGATATTGCATTTGGTTTTTGTATAAAAACAGTTTCATTTGATATGAAGTATATTTATAATATACCGCATATTTGATTTTGTCCCACAAAATGCGTTGTTATCAAAGCTTTACCCTAATATATGTCAATTCGCCTCTTATTTTGTGAGAAACTGATGGTTGAGTCAAGTCGGAATTTACTTATCCGTCTGTACAATGTCGGTTCTTAGTCACTGTATTTCCTAGTTATCTCCCTTTTTTATGCATCAATGGAAGAGGAAGGTGGGTGATTGAAATTATCCAATCTAATTTTTGTATAATGAAATTGTCTATCGCTATATCAGATTTTTAAAGTTCCGTTCCAGTTGAAATAAGTAACATTGATTATTTTGTTGTCATTTATTTCTTTCGATGGCGAGTATTTCATTGGATTAAAACAGATTCTAAAGATGTAATTTGTCTACATGTACTTGTAAGACATGTTTCTTTGTTTAGAAGTATAATAATGCAATTTTTTTTTAAAATATGACGAGTAAAGATGAAGATAATGACATCTAATATGATACAATATAATAAAAGAAATTGAAATTTATTAATAACTTTTTTTTTTCTTGTTGTGACATAAAACTCGCTATCACATGTTATAACTTATATGATTTTACTTGATTTATGGACACGCATTATCCTCACGCTGTGAATAACTCGACATTCTGATCAGATTATTCTCCCTTTATAGAAAACTACAAAATAAACCTCCGTGTTTAAGACCGTCTTATCTACCAGTACAGAGTTATGGCCCCTCCCGATGTTCTCAATGTTTTATGTGTCCTCTTACTTTTTCTTGCATTTTCTTTCACTTTTTCAGTTACAGTATAACCTTCAAAGGAAATGTAATCTCTTTTATAACTTTATAGTTTTGATAAAATCTGATTTTGTAAAAGTTAGTTGCCCTAACATGACCCTTTATATACATTTAAAATAAATTCCTCCTACTGAACCAAAAGACTTCAATTCTGGAGGAAAAGTAGAAATGTGAATGGCTTCTAAGTACTATAGTCGGAGAGATAATTAAAACATATTTAGACAGACAGATGGACAGCTGTACAGCCTTACTGAAATAGCTTTCTTAGAAATCTTTCGTATAGGTCTCAGATTAGCTTAGTCGTGCTTGATCAGTGATGTAGCATCGTTTTTGGAAGTTGGGGGCCAGCCAGAAAAAAAGAATTACTTAGCTAAAAAAGGTGGCAAGCAAATAAAAAAAAGGGAACATTGCCCAAAGTCGAAAATCCTATTTCGTGGGGGGTGGGAGTGGGGGGTTAAAGGCCAACTTTTTTCAATGCCAACTTCTGTCAGTACTATTTTTTTTTTGGCATACAGCATTTCCCTCATATCACTTTACTGTCGTAAGGAATGGGGGGGGGGGGCAATCAGCTTTTCAATGAACATTTTCAATAGTAAAAGTAATATTGGGGGGAAAGTGTGGGGCGCCCCGCCCCCTGTTGCTATGACCTGTTGAAGTTACATTGGATAGAGTATTTTAAGATCCACAGAATGAGGTGAGCTCCTACATTTTTAGAAGATATATATACGTAAGATGTCATAAATAATTCCCATTGCATCTTCCTCATTCTTAATTATAGACAACGAGCTTAATAATTGGGTAAAATCTATACACTCTCATTTCTTTTATTGTAATTGTTAGCACAAAAATATTTTAAGTTGGCATTTCTACAAATAATGTACACGTTTTTTTTTTTCATATATATAATATATATATATGAAATAGTACAGGGCGAAAAGTTTCGAAAGTTTGGTGTCATTTTTTCTTCAGATTGATACCAACCTGAATTAAGGATTTCTATTTATAAGCAATGCTGAGAGAAAGTAAACACAGATTATTTATAATGGTGGAAAATTGTGTATAATCACAAACCCGTTCGTTTTTATGATGTCTAAATATTGACAGCTGATTTTAATTTAGCGGATCACTATAAACGTCGCTGCTGAAATCTGGTTTCGATCTGATAGGTGTATAAAAAGATGTTTAACCCCCTGTAAAACTCATCTTCATATAGACATAAGCATCATGTGCAAAAAATTCTCCCCCAAAACTAACAATACAGTCACTCACACACACTATAACTGTTGTAACATCTCAATGTAATCATTTCTTTTTAATGTATTCCTCTCTCTCTCTCTCTCTCTCTCTCTTTCTCTCTCTCTCTTTAGTGTGGAATGTTCATAACTATTGCAATTCAACAAAACTGAACATTTTTATGATACAGTTTTTAAGAAAAAATAAAAGTATATTTGCTACTCAAAATCTGACATTCTCTCTCTCTTTCTCTCTCTGCATTTTGTCTTAATGTGAAACTTTAAGCAAATTTTTAAATTATATAAAACTGAAACTTTAATTTAATAAAATTATATGCATCAACATAAATAATTTAAAAGGGAAATGCTGGTATTCTAGAAAAGACATTCCCAGTTCTAAAGAGATTACGATCTTATAACTCTAATTTAACAGATTTAATGTCTTTTCATGACATTTTTTTTAATGCAGCTCGTTGACTTTGGGGCATAATTGATTTTCTAAAACGATCCACGATTGTTCATGAAATAAATTAGATGTAATTATTTTGCAAAATATCCGACAGAAAGATATTTCCTGCAATACACAAATTAAGGGATTGAACGAGAAAAAGAACGCTTTTAATACATGTAGTTATATGCTTATTGATCTGAGGGATGTTTGATGTAAAAACATTATCAAAATATCTGTAGGGCGTTTCTTATAGCTTCAATAAGTATTGGGTGTATATATCGATATTGTATATGTATTGGGTGTATCTATCGATATTGTATATGTATTGGGCGTATATATCGATATTGTATACATGTATATGTATGGGGTTTATATATCGATATTGTATATGTATTGGACGTATATATCGATATTGTATATGTGTCATTTATCTATAGAGAGAGTAGAAATTCTTTTTTTTTTAAAGCTTTCTTCAACGTCTCTGGGGAAGAAGCTAGGAAGAGACAGGGTGGGATACCCTCCCCTAGGCTTGATATTTTATATGAATATATACTATTTTGGTTGGTTATGGTGCGTTCTGAAAGTCTTTTTACCAAATATTACACAAGTTTTAACAGCGTAACTCTAATAAGATCTTATGGATCAAGTTTCTACTTTTAAAAAGGGGGATGCGGTTACACCCTAGGATCCCCTTGAACGGCCTTGATACGACAAAAATGACGACTTAATGTTCCATTTTCCTTGTAAGACAGAGTTTTAACCCTGATATTGATATCGAGGCAGAATTGAAGCTTGACTTTTCAATGAACCCGATCTCATTTGTTAAGCTACCACAGTCTCGCTTTGTACATTGAAATTAAAGAATTCCGAATATCAAATAAGATTGTTTTTGAAACCCGTTACATCTGATTATTTTTTAAAGGTACGTTTCTTTTTCTTTTTGTATCGAAGATAATGGTACATTTTGCATGTAAATTATCCATTTAGATGCTTACTATGATAACATTCAAAGTTGATTTTGCATTAAAATAAGCCAGACAGGTATGATTGAGATGAATAATAGAATCCCTACTATTTATTTACAATACAACACTGTACAGCAGATATACATGTAACAAACTCATCCCAAGATCACAAACCATTTCACAAACAAAACCAAAAATTGTGCAGTTTTCGAAACACCAAAGTGCCCCCCACCTCTCCGTAAAGCAGCATATGGCGAAGATTTTATGTGTCCCAAAGGCGGATCAATTTCAATCCTCAAGGTCAAGATATCAAGAAATTGTTGTTCCAAATAGAAAGGTATTGTCACAATAAATGAAATTGTGAATTATAAATTTCCAAGCTGAAGCGATTTGGAAGTTATGGCCAAGGTTAAAGTTTTTAAAAAGTAGATCAAAGTCTAAAGTCAAGGTCACTGAGTCAAATTTTATGGTACTCTTGATACAGAAAACTCACTTGTGAACTATCGAACCCTTGTCATCTACTGTTGAAAAGTTAATGTAAAGTAGGTTGAACTCAAAAGTCTGAACATCAAAAGATCAACTTTGATAATTGTTATTAAGGGTCTTCTCATAAGGGGGACTTTGTGAAGAATGGAAGCCTGAAATGGCTTAAAAATTAAAGCCAGGGTTAAATTTTGAAACCTTCACCTGTTCGCAAGAAAACTGTGGATCCATCATAACAAAAACGATAGGAAGTGCATTGATTATAAACATGCCTAAAATGTAACACTGTTTACCTACAATTAACCTCAACTTTTGTCCCAATTTTACATACAATTTTAGCTTTTAGCGAATACACAATACAGCAACTGTCATTGGTGCGCGTTAAAGTATTCCTGCCCGTTCCGTCTATATGTTACGTAATAATCCATACTTACATTGTATATATTATAAAAGCCGTCTTATCCGCCGAGGGACCTACATGTATATTATTATAGCCGTCTTATCCGCCGGGGGACCTACATGTACAGCTTAATCTTAGTCAATTCCTCATATTACAGTTGTCACGTGTGAGTCAAGTTTTATCCTTACTTACAACTCAAGTTACGACTAACAAACACATTCAAACGATCACAGTGTATACATGTACCTCGAACTGTGATGAAATTTATGGCTAGGGTATAATGGTATCTTTGGGGTTCCAAAATTATAATGAAGTAAATAACACCAGCTGCATGGGACTGGATCTTCATGTGATTTTCCTTTTATAGAAATATTGAAAAACAGAAAAATATTATTTTACGAGAAACAAGTTGGGGGGGGGGGGGGGGGGCGGATTGCAATGTTCTGTTCTGTATATTTACCGAATTATAAGCTTTACAAGACAGTAATCTTTACTAGATTGTAAATTACTCTTTATTGCAAATTGTGCTATATTGTGAATTGAACTAGACTGTAAACTGGTAAACGGTACAAAATAGTAAACCGCGCTGTAAATTGTGTATTAAATACTGTAATATTGTAAATCTTATACCGTATAAGTGGAAATTTTAGCGAAGGCAAATTTAACGATTTCTCTTTAAAAAATGGGTATTTAATTTTTAGCGAGAAGTATATTTTTGCGATATTTTAAAGCTTACTTAAGAAGCCATTTATTACAGCTGAAACGCAATTAATTTTTAGCGATATTCAATTTTAGCAATCTTGGCACCCTCGCTAATAATGCCAAAATTTAAATTCTCGATAAAAATTTCTGCTTATTCGGTATTTTTACAGGATTGTAAATTGCACCAGATTGTAAATTGCATAAAATTGAAAATGAAACTTTTATTGTAACTAGATAGTAAATTAATAACCCTCTCTACACTGCACAATGAAGAGTACGTGTGTAATGAGTCGTGATAGAAGAAGAAAAATATAGTTTGCAGCATCATTCATAAAAATGCAGAGTTTAGACAGATATTTTATTCCCTAATGAAAAATTTCACTTAGCGGCAATGTACATAAATCGATTAATATTGGTAATCAATATAAACAAAACTTTATATTTACTTGTACATTATACCACATCGCCTACCGGGGGGAGGGGGGGGGGGGGTAGTTGGGTTTAAATTAAATTAAGTTAGTAAATTAAGTAGTTTTTTTTTCAAATAATCTTGTTCTCTATTCGTCCTAATCATATTTTTTTTTGTAATTAACTAAATAATCAGAAAACATTAATTCTCTATCATCCTTCCTAAATATTATTTTCCGATAATGTGGCGGCGTAGGGTCGATAAGGACGCACGTCCTATATGATGCACGTGTTTGTTATGACCCAATGACCACATAAAAGGTGACGAAATGGCGTGAGGATGACCATAAACAAAGACTAGCTGTCCGACTGCCCATTACAAGACGGGATAGTTATACGTTAATCGTAAATACACGGGAATACCAATGAGCTTATTTCCTATTACACGTATTATTTTATGATTAGATTTAATCAAACTTATCATGCATTGTAACCCTTAAAGTTCTCGATTTGCGTCTCACAGATGAATAGTTTAATGACAGTTTTTTTTTTCTCACGGGACTTTGTTTTAGAATAAAATCTTACAAAGCTTATACTCTATATACTTTACTTAAAGGCATGCATCTTTCAAAAAAGTTTCTACTCTCTAATAGAAAATTCATCTCAAGAAAAGAAAACATTTGTCGCACACTTAATCCTCTGTAGTCAATTAGAAATCGCAGTGACCGGATTTGATAAGCTGATACCAAAAGAATGAGGGGCACTTGATAAGGACAGAAAATATTTTATATCTGGTCCTTGTAATGTAGTATTTGTGTTTATCCTTTAAGTCAGATAACACCTTATTTATTCACATTGTTTACCTAGCCCTAATTTAATTATTGACTTAACACGCGCCGTGACATATTATGGCGATTAATGTTCCAACCTTTCAACACGTGCAAATGTCACGGTGTCCACTTGCCGTGACCAATGGCTAGTACTGGGATATACTGGTCAGCTTGTTGGCGTGTGTAAAGCCTAATTTGTAATCAAAAGTATATTAATTATATCCAATAAACCGAATTATCATGTACTTTCATAGGTTGTTGACGGGACCCCCCCCCCCTCTTTTCCACCAAATTGTCAAACCTGTTGAACGTTTCTCCACAAATTACATCATTACGCTAATTTATTTTGCATACCATACGAAAATTGGAATCAATGCAAAGTATCAATTTTTTATTTAAAAAAAAAGTCACACTAAACGTTTAGAAAAATCTTTTTGACTTAGGGACCTTGACCTTGAAATTTGGCCAACCTTTACCAAGAATTTCCAAAATTATTCTTAGTCATAGCTTTCGATTAGATGGTACGAAGGCTTTTTTTTTAATTTCATATGTGTATTCACTGTGTCAAGATCTTTAAAATGGGTAACAAAAAAATTGACCTCTGACCTTGAACTTACATGTAGAGTATGATTCACTTTTGAAAACTTTAAAATTGATTATAACTTTTGAACTCTTTGTATTAGGTGAGGGCTTTCATATTTCACAGATGTGTTCCTTGTCACAAGTCCTTCTTTTGGAAACCAACAGTTTTGACCCTTTGACCTTGACCCTGAAGTTTGACTTGCATTTGAAAATGTTCAACCTTTGCCATTCGATGCCATACGGAGGCAATCCATCTTGTATCTCAATATATGGACCGGAGGTGCATCAATTTTTCAAAACACATTTTTTTTTTTAATTTAGTTTTCTTCGCGGCGTTAACAATAGTTTAATCCAGTCCCGTTTCAACAAAATTAGAAAAAGAGGCTTACGATGGATTCCCTCCACACCCCTTAAAGCATGAATTACAGGAAATATATCACATTTCACATTAAAAATTCAAAGCACTTAAATGTGTTTTTAGTAAAACGCAAACAGAAGGGCAAAATTACAGACATATGTTTTAAATACATTAATGCCTCAATTTCAAAGGTGAATACAAACTGTGAAAATGGGGAGGAGGGGGGATCTTAGTTGTTGATGAATTCGGTACGTATCAACAAAATTTATCAGTTTAAGGTGAACGACCCACGGACCGTCATTAGGTTTGAGTTTTATCATGTTTTATCGCATTTCCCGCTCGTCACATGCAATTATTGTAATGCAATACGACTATTAAGATATAGTGCAATGTTAATGATAGCTGAATTGTATTTAGATATATCATGTATTCATTTAATTTTATTGATTAGTTAACATACCTATATCATAGATTTGTTCATGCAATAGTTTTCTATTTCTTTCTTAAAATTTTATAAATATTTTTAAGAGAAAAACTTAATATGCATGAAATTTAGAATTTCACGGTAATGCATATATATTTTTTAATTATGACAATTAATATTAATAAAAAGTAATGTATAGTCTTATTGAGATGAAAAAATCGTCCTATTTCAAACAAAGTAAACATCTATGGAAAGGCTTGGGAGCGGAGATTTATAAACATATATACACAATATTGATAGGACCTGTAAATAAAAAGATAAAAAATACCCACAATAAGATAAACATCGACAAGTCGTTAAAAACACATCAGAAAAACGGCATGTACCGTTATCGGCAATACCTCCTCATCAATCATAGCGTTAAGTTAGTCAAGTCTTTCTCTCTTTCTCTCTCTCTCTCTGAAAAAATGCAATCTCTCTCTCTCTCTCTCTCTCTCTCTCTCTCTCTCTCCGACCCGCTCTTTCTTTCAATCTCTTGTTCTCACTCTTTGTACTTTTCTCTCTATCTATAACATCAACAAAATTACTCTCTCTCTCCGACCCGCTCTTTCTCTTAATTTCTTGTTCTCTCTCTCTTTCTCTGTAATTCTCTCTTTCCCTGACATCAACAAAATTTCTCTCTCTCTCTCTCTCCGACCCATTTTTCTCTCTCTCTCGCTTTCAATCTATTTCGGGTCCTTTCTTTTTCTAACTCGAGCTCCCTCTATCTCTTACTCCCTGAACCTTTTTCTTACTCCTTTTCTCTCCCTCTGTCTCTGTATAGATCTCTATTACTATCTCCCTTTCTATTTGGCACTCTCTCTCCCCGACCCGCTCTCTCTCTCTCTCTCTCTCTCTCTCTCTCTTATACAGAGAGTAACTAAACCACTCACCGACATGTAGGCTCTGGTTGTGTTTTTCGGCTGCGATCAGTCCTATACATTCCAGCTCTTTCCTCGTCAGGGCCTCCTGTTGGTCCTCGCTATGGAATAAGGTTCCCACCTCCTGGAAAAATTTAGAGTTTGAAAGATTTCTCATTGTTTCCAGGAGCATTTACGACAGGGATTTCACTGACAGGTATTCTGAACTCTGCCAAAGAGTATTTCCACTCGATATAGTAATTAGTGAAACAGAACAAAAGTCGTATACTTAGATACTTCAGATGTTCAAGTGTTTCTGCACAACACGCGTCACAAATATATTCTACTTTGGAAGAAAGCATGCATATTCTTTCAGAGAATTGCCGGCACTCATATTTTTTCTATTTTTGATGATTATAAGAACCTGGATAATTAATAGGAGAAAAAACACCAGATCTGTTGTATCTGTGTCAACCACTTATTAACAATAGGAACGATTTACTTCTACGACGAGAAAGCACTTGACGAAAATCCTTGTAATTCCCCCATCAACTGCAACAATAAACACGAGGCAAAAAGCGATATCCCCTAAATAAAATTTTCTTCTTCTTTAATTTCCATTAAACGTATACCAAAGTTAAAAAAAATAAAGAGAATTTAAAAATCAAGATTTAAACCAAACAAACATGACAATATTTCCTCTTCAGAAAATCAACGGTTCCACACAAAAACGTTAAAGCTACGAGATATATTTGAATGAAATAAATCCACAACACAGGGCGTAAGTGCGCAGCAATATTGTCGACCGATTCACGCATACTACAGTGTACAAGAAAAACCCACAGTATTAACTGTTCATGTGTCATATAATCGTAAGACGTGGCTTTATATCAAATCACAGCAAAACCTAAACAAAGATAATTCGGTCTACATATACTGTATTTTACACTATATGAACACCTTATGGCGAATGTATATCACTCCTTTTTTATTTTTAAAAATTTAATACTTTAAAAATAAGGGTTTCCCCCTTTTTTTCACGTTACCTCTTTTATAAATCAAGACAGTCCTTTATATTTTCAAGGATGAAAATTAGCATTATACTGAAAATTATATCATCAACACATTAAACTCTCTATATCAAATGTTTATTTATTTAACACGTATTTTGACTTTTGACTATTACATAACACGAACCTTGATAATATTTCTTTACCTCTAAGTTTATTTTTTTATTGGTTTAAATAGAATTGAGTTACAAATTCTATATCTGCTCTCTCTCTCTCTCTCTCTCTCTCTCTCTCTCTCTCTCTCTCTCTGACGTCACACGCCTGATGAAGTTTATGATAAAATATTGTCCTGATCCCTGGTCCGTTAACTTCCTGTCAGCTATAAATGATTAATCCCTCTCTCATTAGCTGACCACTTCTCTAGACAATAAGACACTGAAACAGCCATTAATATCACGGGGTCTTAAAAACACTAGGGAGGCGGATCTAGAAATGTTAAGATTATAAATTATTGTGTCACCTAAATAAAGTTCCGGGTTACTGCAATGGGTTCTTTTTAATATGTAAAGATAAAACGGACACGATTCGATAATCTCCTTCAAAGGAGAATTGGAGGAGGTGCATCGTAGTTCTAAATTATAAAACATTCTTGTCTTCCAGCACAATGGGAGCTATAAACAGGTTGGGGGGAAACGTAAATTCCGCTATAATAGTGGTATTTCACTATTATAGTGAAATTACGCTATATTTCCCGCCGTGGATACCCTCAATTTCATCTGATTCCATGCAAGGCGTTTGAACCGCATGTCATGGTGGGTATTAAAATGAACAAAAACTGTCATGCTTGCATGTTTTGAATTTTAATAAATTTTCTACCGTTGCTTTTAATAATGCGAGCACTCTTTTTTTAACGGAAGTTGCATTTTTAACATAGCAACCGATGATTGCTGGGATAGTTAAGCCTGTTTGAATCTCACTTATTGTTCATTAATGTGCACAAATTAATGCTTGTAACAATTGTCAACTTTAACTGAAAAGGGTTTATGAAATTAAACAAGAAAAAGATTATTTCTGTCTGCATGGTTACGGGTATGGAGGCTCGTTATGGTAAACGGAAAGAACCATTATTATCGGCCGCTACTGCGGCCGATCTTTTTGTGCATGGTTGTGTTAGACAGTGAACATAGGAAATGAGAAGTTATTTTGTAATAGTTTATTATTATAATTCTTCACTGATAACATGTAGAAAATCAAAAGTAAATTTTTTTTAAATGCTTAATAAACAAATTTAAAATATTATTGTTATAACTTTTCAATTTCATTGTCATTTTTCATCAAGATATTTGATAATTTTTGACTAGATAAAAAGAGATTACAAAAAGTACTATATAGATATAAAAGAAAAATAAATGACGAGGTAAATAAAGTGCATGGTTAATTAAAAAAATCAAAAAACTATTCAACTCGTAAAAACTGTTTTGAATAGTTACAGCGGCGAATGCTGCGAATAATACATGTACAAGGATAATTTCGTTTCCACATTTTGCACAGCGCTTTGCAGCATAGCCTATTCAGCAGAAACCATAGGAATTATCACGTGATCAAGATCCAGGGTGCACGTGGTTCGGTCATTTTTATTTCAGACTGTCTTCAAAGCAATATAAATATAAATATGAAAAAAAAAATAAGTAAGTACATAGATATTTTAGTGCATTTGCTCATCAGATGGATTCATCGATGTAATAAAGCCCATAGGAGTCTGAAGCAAATTGAAAGGATGAAAGGAGGGGGGGGGGGGGGGGCTAAACCAACCAAAAAAGTAAACCCCAATTTTCAATACATTGAAAATGTCTATATTTGAAAAAAAAACAGTGGGGTGCAAAGACCCCCTAGCCCCTCCCCCCGGTTCTGACGCCTATGAAGTCAAAGATAAAAGAATTGATTGAAAATGAAAATATACGCTTCTCAAGATTCAGTTTTGAATATCTTGTACTTCCATTGCATAAATATGCTTTCAAAATTGTGAAAGTACTTTTTCAAATGCTAAATTGTTTGCGGCCGATTTGAAGCTTTACGTCAATTTTAATTGTGGAAAATATGAATTGAGTCAAAGATATTTTAGACACTTCTTATGCTGAATATTGAGCAGTGGCGATTGGTTTTTTGAAGTTTCCCTGTGGTTCAAACAATAATACAATGGCATTAACCTAAAACTCTTAAAAATTAATACCTTTAGTGCACAGTGATTTTTTGCTTACATTTCACATCAATATAATTAGATATAAATATTTTTGAAATATCAAGAAAAACACCTTTAGCTATTTCTCTCAGAATTTAAAGTTAAATCATTCTTGCCTAAGTGCATAACCATAAAGTGTTAAATATGATACATTTGTGCGGAGTTAAATCATAATTATTTAAACATGTGTTAAAATAAGGTTACAGGCACTCTTGTCAAATATTCCCAACACCAAAATAAATTGAGTCTTTTTTTCTGAAATAAACAATTAATCAGCCAAAATTAAAAATTAGATATATTTTCTATGATCGTTTATGTAAGTAATTTTTTGGATTATTTATTATAATTTGATTTTGTTAAGAGGATAGAAATCGAGTTTGTCAATATACTTTTTTTTATGTTTGCCATGATGTGTTTTTCCGTTTACCATAACGAGCCTCCATACCCGTAACCATGTAGACAGAAATAATCTTTTTCTTGTTTAATTTCATAAACCCTTTTCAGTGCAAGTTGACAATTGCAACAAGCATCAATTTGTGCACATTAATGAACAACTAGTGCTAATTGTAACGGGGACCGTTACAGATGTTCCCCAAACGCTCCCCAACTCCTTTTTGGTGCCATATTCCCTGTAAGCTTCATTAAATAAGACAAACTCTGTGCATTTTGACTTTAACAACGTTTTCTCAGAAGGATACCAATAATATTCTGATTTTAGCATTGCACCCGTGCGCATGTGAATGCATGTCCGTTATGATCATATCATCTTGTCTACACTATCTACATATTTTAATATACAATATATTAAAGCATTCAGTCCAAAAGTTTGAAAAATAACTCTTTCAAGTGTATTTTTCATTTCACTCGTTCCAAATGCATGCACGTGCGTGCACGTGCATGATGACCATACCTTCTTGTAGGAGTCCCTTACATCTATCTATATTCTAAATCCCATCCTGTTTGGTTGAAAAACAAGGGAGTTATAGCCATTTCAAGTTTAAGCCAATCAGATTGCAGCACAGGTGCATGCGCGTGATTTCATGATTTTTTTTCTATATCATATTGTAGGATGTCCTAATGCATGACAATGTTTTAAATTTCAAAGCATTTCGTCAAAAAACAAAGTAGATTTAGCCATTTAAAGTTTCAGCCAATCAGATTTCAGGACGCGGTCATGCGCATGCTTTCATGAAAATTCTTATATATCATGCTGTAGATCTTCATAATGTAGGTCTATGTTCGAAATTTCAAAGGATTATGCCAAGAAACAAGAAAGATATAGAGACTTTAGTTTTAGCCAATCGGAGCAAAGCGCACGTGCATGCGCGTGCGATCTTGCTATTTTGACCATGTCATCTTGTGCATACTACTTATATATACTTATAAAATGAGTTTCAAAGCATTTCATCGATAATTTTAATAGTTACGTCTGTATCAATTATATTGTACATTTCTCGTGTTGCACGTGCGAGCTCTTGCAAGCACATGTGAATGCACATGCTTTCATGAAAAATCTTATATTACAGGCTGTAGATCTCCCAAATGTATGACTATGTTCAAAATTTCAAATGATTTTATCAATAAACAAAAAAGATATTGAGACTTTAGTTTCAGCCAATCAGAGCGAAGCACACGTGCATGCGCGTGCGATCTTTCTATTTTGACCATGTCATCTTGTGCATATTACTAATATATCCTTACATTATAAGTTTCAAAACATTTCGTCACAAAATAGAGAAGTTACGGTTATATCCATTAAATATATTGGTCATTTTAAGTTTTGCACGTGCGCGCTCTTGCAAGCACGTGCGCGCAAAATGACCTTGATTCCGCAAATCTACATAACATGCCTACTTACCCTAAAAAGGTTTCACCTAAGTCGGATGTGTAGTTTACAAGATCACTCGCGGACAAAATTTTCCCAAGAAGAAAAATAATAATAAGAATAATAATAATAAGAAACAGAGTAAAAACAATATGTTCCCCAACTTCGTTTGGGGAACATAATAAGTGAGATTCAAACAGGCTTAAATATCCCCGAAATCATCGGTTGCTATGTTAAAAATGCAACTTCCGTTAAAAAAAGAGTGCTCGCATTATTAAACGCAACGGTAGAAAATTTATTAAAATTCAAAACATGCAAGCATGACAGTTTTTGTTCATTTTAATACCCACCATGACATGCGGTTCAAACGCCTTGCATGGTATCGGATGAAATTGAGGGTATCCACGTCAGGAAATATAGCGTAATTTCACTATAATAGTGAAATACCACTATTATAGCGGAATTTACGTTTCCCCCCAACCTGATAAAGCCTTCTTTCCAACACAATAAATTAATCAAACAAGACTTTACTTGAAAAAAAAAAATTGTCTACTTTTTAAATCTAAAAAAAAATAGAAAAATTAATATATTGGTGCGTTACAAAAGTGCAATTAATAAGTAGCTCTGTGAACATCCATATTAACAAGAAAATGGTATTACACATGAATTGATATAACAGCATTACTGTGGCTTGTATGCTGGCATGTTATGTCGAGCGTTCACTAATCAAGCATGCTGTAACATACTGAATATGTAGATGTATATGTGTTCTAGAACAGAATCACT